TCAAGAGATCGAGACCATCCTGGTCAACATGGTGAAATCCCGTCTCTACTAAAAATACAAAAATTAGCTGGGCATGGTGGTGCGCGCTTATAGTCCCAGCTACTCGGGAGGCTGAGGCAGGAGAATTGCTTGAACCCAGGAGGCAGAGGTTGCAGTGAGTCAAGATCGTGCCATTGCACTCCAGTCTGGGTAACAACAGCGAAACTCCATCTCAAAAAAAAAAAAAGAATATTCATTTCTACTAAATCACCAATATTATTATTATTTTTTTTTTTTTTTTTTTTTTTAAGACAGGCTCTCCCTCTGTTGCCCAGCCTTGTGTGCTGTAGTGGGATTATGGCTCACTACACTCTTGACCTCCCAGGCTCAAGCCATCCTCCCACCTCAGCCTCCCAAGTGCTAGAACTATAGTCTTGCACACCTCGCCTGGCTAATTTTTGTATTTTTTGTACAGACAAGGTTTCCCTGTGTTGCCCTGGCTGGTCTTGAACTCCTGGGCTCAAGTGATCCTCCCACTCAGCCTCCCAAAGTGTTGGGATTACAGGTATGAGCCACCATGCCTAGCTTAATATTCTTATTAAAGATTATTCAAGTCATGTGAACTTGAAAAGCATTTGAATTAGTTGCTTTCCTTTCTGAGAAAATAAGTTATTTGAGCACTTGTTTTTCTCTAGATCAATTAAGTATTAAGAGCTCTTTTAATATTTTATTTTAGTGGGGAAAAAGATAATTTTAAATCATTTCTGGCTGGGGGCAGTGGATCACACCTGTAATCCTAGCACTTTGGGAGGCCAAGGAGGATGGATCACCTGAGGTCAGGAGTTTGAGACCAGCCTGGCCAACATGGTGAAACCCTGTCTCTACTAAAAATACAAAAATTAGCCGGGCGTGGTGGCACATGCCTGTAATCCCAGCTACTCGAGAGACTGAGGCAGGAGAATCACTTGAACCTGGGAGGTGGAGGTTGCAGTCAGCTAAGATCGTGCCACTGTGCTCCAGCCTGAGCAGCAGAGCAAGACTTAGTCTCAATAATAATAATTAACAATAAATAAATAGCATAGACATACATAAACATGCAGACACAAACAGATTCATGACTTCTGTTCTGAAATTTGAGCCATGTGTCAGGCACAATAATATAAAACTCCCTAGTTGGATACAAATTGCATTCTTGACAGTTAAAGTTACCTGTTCAGATGGCTAAAGGCTTTCATTTGTATTTTTGGAAAAGACTTTCAGGATTCTTTCATTTGCTACTTTTCTAAAAAGTTTTTTTTTTTTTAATTCTGATGAGTCATTCTTTGAAGTTTGCGTTTTAAAGATTTAAACATTTCTCAGGCAGAAAGGCTGTTATGTTTTCTCCAAAAGCGAGTCTTGGAGCATATTTACTTAATATCAGGAGTCAGTCTTATTACGACTGTGGACTAGGTTTTAGGTGTCTGGGGAAAAATCCAGTCTTTTTCCAGTTAGTCTCAGGCGGTTGCTTTATAATAGCCAAATCGTGTGCAACACCAAAATATGCATTTAGTTTTCGCAGATACTCCTGGCTCACTTGAAGATCTTCTAAAGGAAGATAGTGTCGAGAATATTCACGTATTCGTGTGGAAAGAGACAAGAGATCAAACGGATTTGTAAATTCAAAATATTTTTTCTTCTTTTGAGAGATTCTCACTCTTTCGCCCAGGCTGGAGTGCAGTGGCACGATGTTGGCTGCAACCTCTGCCTCCTGGGTTCAAGCGATTCTCATGCCTCAGCCTCCTGAGTAGACGGGATTACAGGAGCCCGCCACCACACTCATGTAATTTTTGTGTTTTTAGTAGAGATGAGGTTTCACCATGTTGGCCATGCTGGTCTTGAACTCCTGACCTCAGGTGATCTGCCTGCCTTGGCTTCCCAAAGTGCTGGGTTTATAGGCGTGAGCCACCACACCAGCCTTAAAATAATTTTTATGAGTGTGCTGTAGAGATTTATTTAAAGAGGCTTAAAAAAAAAACAATTCTGCCTTTTGAAAGCTTCTGTGTACCATCAAAAAATGCATCTAATTGTTTCTTAAGTACCCAGAATCCTCTTTTTTTAATGCACCCATAGATGAATAATTTCGTCTAGAGAAAAAATTCCCTATTGTGGCCACTATAATTGTAAGTTATCTTCCCAAGGCACATCCATTTCACTAGAATGGCACAGGTTCTGGGTCTTTGGTTTCTAAACATAAAATTAGCTGAGTTCCAGACAGGAGTTTCAGACTCCTTAGATTCTGATGCACCCACAATGCCCTGTCCTTCTAAAAATGTGCTTACTCGAGGCTTCCAACCGGACCCTGTTCATTTCCTGTCCAACACTCCCTTCGACCTCCAGATCCCAATCTGGATTCCAGTCTGGAAGCCAGTATACTAGACTACAGCTAGTCCAGTTCCTGTCCAACACCCAGTTTCACCCTAGTGAAAATTCCAAGGGCCCCAAAATAGCAGGGAAAAATTGGAGGTAATAAGAACTCCTATTTATGGCATACGGTGTCCCCAGCCCTGTGTGTGCCAAGGGCTTCCAATATACCCTGTGAAATAAAGCTATTATTATCCCCATTTAACAGTTGAGGAAAGAGAGAAGGCAGATGACTTACGAAGGTCACATAGGGCCAGGCAGAGCTGGGATTTGAAGCTCAGTCATAAATAGACTGGGAAGTGTGGGTTGTTTTAAAGTTTGGTGCAAAAGCCAGGATGTGACCCCAGAAAGAGGCACCAGGGTTGCATTCACAGAGCAGGGGGCTGCCCCCTCTATCTTCCTGTATGACTTCATCTAGCCCTGTGAGAATGACAGGCCTGGTCTACCACTCCAGGTGACAGCTGGGGAAACAAAGGTCCGGAGAAGTCAGTGATGGGCCAGAGGTCACGCAGTCAAAGACAAAGCTGAGGTCCATGAGCCAGGTCAGTGACCAGACCCTCCCACACCAGGCCACTGTTGGGCCTAGTGTTATGCACTGCAGACACTGGAGGGAGAAGGAGAGGGAGTGAAGAAAGGAGAAAGCTTAGTTTCAAGGCGGATGCCAGACTTCTGGTCTCTGAGTGGGATTCCTAACTCCACACCTGAGCAATTCTAGCCAGGGGAAAAGCCATCCCAACCCTGACCTTGACTCCTTGGGCCTCCATAATGCTTGCTCTAGATGGCAGCACCCTCGTGTGGCTACAGCTGGTAACTACATTAAGTCACAGGTTTCCTCCCTCAAAAGGATGCTTCACCCCCCAGTGCCTCACCCTTCTGTAATCCCTCTGAGCCTCAAAAAGTGAAGATGGCCATTATTAGGGCCAGTGGTGGGTGGCAAGGACAAGATGTCATGGACAGAGCACTGAGCTGGGTGTCAGGAAACCTCAGATAAAATCCTCACTTGGTTACTGGCTGACTGTGGGGCTTGGGTCTCAAACTCCTTATCTGTATAAAGGACTGAAACATCTCCCCTACCTGACTCCCAAAGGCTTTCCAAAAGGACCAAAGGTATCTCAAATACCAAGTACTCTGTAAACTGTAAAGCACCTTTAAAGGGTAAGGGTTATTCCATAAACTGAGGAATGCACGTTGGAGGGATTCTCAAGAATGCCGGTACCCAGTGTGTGGCAGCAGGGTCATTGAATCCTTGGGATGGACTTGGTAGCAGAGAAATGGTGGCCAGAAGAGGGGGTGGCCCACAGCCCAGCCTGCCCCATGAAACTCAATCCTGCAGAGGGAGGGGTCTGCCCCAGACCCACCCCCTCGCATGATGAGCTAAGGGGAGAGCCACAAGCTTTGTTGATCAGAGTTGGTCTGATCAAAAGACTTACATCAGATCCCAGGACTTGTTTCCGCATCTGCGATAGGGATAGCCACATTCTTCCCAGGGCTGTTGATTCCCAGAACAGTTGTTGAGAACATGTAAAAACCATATGATGGGTGCCTTGGTGCAGAGTCAGTTCACAACAAATGATATGATTATGTAAACTAATGAGCAAAGATAGTTTTGTTTACCAAAACTGCACAGGAAAACTGCCCTCATTCATTACATCAGTGTGCTGGGCACTGAATTTAATAGCTGTAACTTCTCATGACATGATGAACCACTTTACATAGAGGTTACCTTTGGTCCACTTCCAGCAAGAAATTTGGTGAAAGACAGTGAAGTAACTTGCCCAAGGGCACACAGAGTGGTGAGACCCGCATGTGACCTCAGGTCAATCTGGGGCATCAGAGCAACATGGGCTACAGTTCCCAATGCCTGCAGCATGCCACCTCTGCAAGCACCATGATGGCTAATGCGGTGGGAAAGGGCCCCAATGACAGCTGCTGAGGCAAAATCACGACTGGAAATTAGTCGGAAAAATCACGACTGGAAGCCAGACTGGAAACCTGCATTCCCTCCACTTCCTTTTCTTCTCCCTCTATTCCCAGGGCTCCACTTTCAGACACCAGCTGGTGTGGGCTACCACCTGGCCTCTACAGCTGGACCCATCCTGTAATTCCTAACACTTACCAAATCTGCCCCGGAGCAAAGTTGGTGAAAAGGGTAGATGGCATCTTCAGGCCTGGGCAACATGCACCATGGTGAGCTCAAGCCTCCTGTCTGAAGAGATGAGCATGCTGGGACACTGGACCACTTGGTGGGCCTCAGTAGTGGGCATGGGTTGGCAGGGTGCAAATGGAGTAGGCCAAACAGAGGAAAGGGAGAAGAGGAGAGGCCCAGACAGACAGTGCTGTAACCCAGACACCTCACCTGAGGGGCCCAAGGAGAATATTCTCATGTGCGAAGTTGGAAATCTGGATTTTTATGTGAAATATCTTGAGTCTGAATGCACTGGGCAGGCTGAACCGAACATCTTTGGTTTAAATTGGGCTCAAGAGCCATCAGTTTGACAGCCCTCCCCCAACCCTCACAAAACAACAAAACAAGCAGAAAGCAGCCTGAGCAGAAAAGGGCTGTCCTGGCAAACTACACTGGAGGTGCGGGTCAAGGGGGAGGTTAAAATAAAGCGCAAACCCAGATTCCAAAGTTCTGTATTTTTCAAAATAAAGATCACACATTGTTTAGAGACAATCTACACAAGAGTTACAAAAAATAGTTGCCCAGGCATAAGCATACACAGGTTTGTTAATTATACACATATGGTTACAAGTGTGCTTGCAAAAAAGTTCATTGGAAATATACACAAGGCTCTGGAAATGTACACCGTGTAGTGTTACAATTCTATATTCAAACAAGGAAAATTGACAGTATGTTACATTCACTTACAAGTAGACAAAATGCAAAATACAGTTCATCTTCTGTACAAAAGGGAAGGGCAATTCACACTTTACAAGGTGAGGGGGCTCTGATTGTAAGGAAAGCTCGGGCAGGGCTAGACTTTTGCACGTCCTTTTGACTGTCACAAAATCAAAACATTACTTTAGGATTAAAAAAACACTAGTGAGAACTGAATCTTGAATAACATTTAGAAAGAATCTCGCTATACTTGAGACTAGATGACAAATAAAACCAAGCTATTTTTTTCTTTTTAAACATTAACTAGGCTGTATAAAGAACATTTATTCCTTCAAAAGAAAAAAATTTACTTCTGGTTGAAATTACAATTTACAATATACAACACTATACGCTACGCCCATAAAAGGTGAGAATATACACTGAATGCACAGGGCTGGCTAATTTTCTTTTCTTACCAAAAAACGTGTTTATGTTGATTCAAACTTCTCCACATTTACATTACAGGTATACAAATGTACAATTGTACAATCAAAAGTATGTTCGACTACTAGGGTACATTATAGATACAGATTAGACATCAAAACGAGAAAATACTACAAATTTGTATATATGCAAAGTCTACACCAAGTATACACTATAGATTTATAGAAGCAAGACCAAAAGCAGAGTTGGATTTTTTTTCCTCATGCTAAATAATCAGATTTTGCCTTTCAATGTTAATAGAAAAAAATCCAGTAGGCAGTAAACAATCACACCCGCCCAGCCTCAAAAGACGCTCTGGGTGCTCGCGTCTCCTCCTCACAAACAGCCTTCTTCGGCATAATATCGTCTCCAAAAAAGGCAATTTTTAGAATTTCATAAACTTAATGTCACAAACTGAAGCTTTAGCAACTCTGAAACCTTTTTCATTTTATATATATATATATATATATATATATATATATATGTATGTATGTATATGTATATGTATATATATATTTTTTATAAACAGTGTTAAATGCCAGTTTGGGGTCATTTAACTAAAATTCAAACATCTCAGGTTTTTTTGTTTTTGTTTGTTTTTTACTAAAATGAGGAAGTGGGGAAGAGCTATTTGCAAAACTTGCCGGCCAGGCAAATGAGCTAAAAACCTTTTCTTTTTTTTTTTTTTTTAAGCTTTTTTTTGTTAAACCAACCACCCTGAAAGTTTCCACATGTGAAATATAGATACAACAGTGAACAAAATATGTGGCCTCCCATGTACACTGGTTACCTATGTACAAGTGTCCTATACACCAGTAAAACAGCAGGGCAATTAGTCAATTAAAAAAAATAGTACATGTTATGTGTAATAAAATTAAATTTACAAAGGCTTTCCACTCGTGGATTTGATTCCTTTTTTGGAGGAGGGAGTAATCCTGGAGCAACCATTTGCCTGTCTCAGACTCCACACTACAACATTTCTGGTTGCTGGTTGGATTTGCTAGTGGGCCAGTGAGGTCAGTGGGAATGAGGGAAGAGCGGGTGACACTGCCTCAGATGATACCATTGGGGGGGCCACAGATGGGCCCTAAGTCAACGCCGTTCTTCATGTAGTACTTCTCCAGCTTGGCCAGAATGTGCTTGCCATAGGTGTACTTACGAAGAGTTGCGATGTGGGGCCGGATCTGGGGAGGAAAGACACTGTGTGTTACACGGCCTGAGTAGAGACTTGGGCAGGCTTCTCAGACACGCTCACGCGCATATGCACACCCCACAGCAATAACCTTTCACTGTTTCAGCCCAGTCCCCTGACTTCTAGCACTTTAGCAACCCATCAGAGGAGGAGAGGAGCTCCTATCTTGAGTGGTGCCACACGGCCTGAGGGCTCTGGAGGCTGGGTGGCATGGGCCACTTCCAGGATAGCACACGGAGAAAGCGCATCCTTGTCGGGAACACACACTGCCCACTCTCCGCCAGCTGCACAGTGCATCCCTGAAAGCACATGCACAGGGCTCTCTGGCCCCATGCACAGCATCCAGGCTCTCCTGAGCAGTGGGGGTTATTTCTGGGCACCATGAATCCTGAGCTCACCACTTGACCCTGTCTCTTCAGGTCACAGTGGATCACAGAAAGCTAGTCCATGACAAGAAGAGATACAATGAACATCATGAGCCGGGTGTCATTACCCCCATCTTACTGATGGAAAACATGAAGGCACAGAGTGGTGAAGTCACTCACTCAAGGTTGAATGGCTAACAAAGGACAGCACAGACAGCTGAGCCCAAACTGCACGGCGCCTCCACAAATGACGTTTCTCCCACTGTGCTTCTCACGAATGCCCGCTGCACCAGCCTCATCCCTCTGGCTCTCTCACCTGTGCTCTGGCTCACCTCTCCAGGCATTCCCTTCTGTTTTTCCCTCCCTGGGCTGATCTATTTCAAGTCCTGCATTCCAGAAAACTCGAAAGGTGCTTCCTCTCCAGAAGCCGCTTTCCTTTTCTGTGAGCTCAGGGAGCATTCTACATACCTCAGCTGTGTCTGCAATCTTTTGCTTAATTATTAATCTTTCCATATAAACAGCAAAGAACCACAGTTTATTCATCAGATTCCCCAATCCAAACCTGCACCTGAATACCCAAACACACTGGACAAATGTACTGCAGCAGACAGAGGCTCTCCAGGCTGAGAGCTCCATGATGGCACCACTATTTGTCTGTTTAGCTGTCCTCAAAGCAAGGAGGGGTTGATCCAATCCAGAAACCAATTATGCATGCTTCCAGGACACCGAGCTGATCAGTGTCACATTCCCACTTAGGAGCCTACATGGGAAGCTGGCAGGTAGCAAACAGTCCTTGGTTCCAGTTTAACCTCCCTTGAGCTCACCTGTATGACAGCATGCAATAATGCTACACCTCTCCTCTGAGTTGTAGTTACTAACGTTGCTGTTATGAGAACTTGGGGTTCAGGATCTCCTTATCCTTTTAGAAAATAAGCAAAATCCAATCCATTCCTCTCTGTCCCTGGAACTGGCTGCTGAGGAGTCCAGTCACTTCACCTTTACACTTCTCCAGAACAAAACAGAACAGCCCTAACAAGCCATACACACACAACGCGTTGAATTCCATTCTTTATGGGATTTAACAAGAGGTGAAACATAATTAGTCTGCTTCTCTCCTAGTGCCCCTTTTGCTGAAAAGGACACCACTTAGTAGTAATGGAAAAGCTGAAAAACTAAGAGGGCTTCTCAGAGCTCTCTCCGTCAACTCCCTCAGCCAACCAACTGCTAAAGCCTACTGATTCTAGCGCCCTTTCTGTCCACTTCTCTTCAGTCCCAAACCATCACCATCTGTTGCTTGACGGCCTCCCACGTGGTCTCATCACTGCCTCCCCTCCTCTAAACTATAAAGGCCACATGGGAGCCAGGACAATTATTTGAAACGTAAGTGTGACTTTGTCACCACACTCCTCCCCCCGAACTTGCTTTACTTCTTCAGATACAGCATTGTCTGGTCTGCGGCTTCCCAGTCTTCACACACCATGTTCCGTCTTCTGGAAAGGGTCATCACTTTATTAAGTATCACTCCCTTAGGGAGCCTCCTCTGCACCCACACGTTGTAGGAGACTCCCTGACCTATTCCTGGACAACCCCTTCCCCTTCCAGCGTTCCAGTAACTATCCGTGCACAGCACTGTCATGTTTACCATTACAACCCTGTTAAGAATAGGACCTGCTGTACGGCACGTGTTGAGCACTTACTGAATGAATAAATGGACATGTCTTAAACTCCTACTTACCTCCAACACTCCCTTTGCCTTCACCAGCCTCCTGACAACTTAGAACTTTAAGGACCTGGGAATTCCCCAGCCTTTAACTGCCATTGCCAATACCAGTGCAGTGGTTTGGATTGGTTTGGTTTGACTCAGAGGTGGTGGGTGTCTTGTCTGGCTCAGAACTTGAGTCCATAACAAAGATTCTCATTACCGAACTTTGTTCTCAGTGAGGGCAAGTGGGTCATCATTGCCAGACAATGGCCAACCAACCCTTCAATTGAGAAGGGCTGAGTGAGCTCAGAGCCCAAAAGCTGAAGGCTCTGATGAAAAGCACAGAGGCTGGAGGCACTGCCGAGCACAAACACAACTGTAGCACACCCTGTCGGTGGGTCTGTTCTGCTTCCTGGGCCCCGGAGTGTGTGCAGTGCTCACTGGACCCATGCGGTGACTTTGTCGAGAAGCTGTGGGCCTCTTCAGGTGATTTCTCTTGTCAGTTCCCCACTCACGGAACCTAAGTGTTCTCATTTCTGTTCCTTTTCCCCGTCTAACTCTTCTTTAGCCTTGCCTTCTCCTGCAAAGCCGGCCCTTGGGGACTCTGGGGAGGGTGAGAGGCCCTTCTCCCATCCTCACCACTGCTCACCACCATTGCTCTTCCCCACCAGACTGCACTCTGTGGGCAGGAATCAGGCCTTAGTCATCTCTGTGCTGATGAAGTCTGGCACAGAGTGGGCTTCAGGTCAATGTGCCAGGCTATGAATGCACCACGCTGGGCAGGCCCTTGTTCAACAGATGTTGGTGGGATCAAAGAACAGGCGGAAGGAGGGAGAAAAGAAATGAGGTAAGCAGGTTGATTTACTGAACTTACAAACTGATTTCCTAGAGATCAGGAATGGAAATACTTCAAAAATCATAGCTTAAGACTCTCCTATCAGTGTGGTTATTACTGATAAGGGAAGGCTGGCAAATGCGTAAGGACTATGATGACTCCACATAAAAGAACAGAATACAGCATGGACAGGGGTCAGTGACAACTCTTCAAAAACAGCAGTGTACCCACCCTTCTTTGTGTTTCAGAAAGAAGCAAGGCCTTGCACACCTTCTCTGAGACCCTTGCCCAGCCTGGCCTACCTTATGCATGACGATCTTTCGCTGGCCTGGCTCTGCCACGTCAATCATCTTCTGGACCACGTAGTTGGCATACTGGTCCTTCATCATGGTGTATAAGGCACTGTGGGGACCATCGTTCATGGTGCACACCTCGTCGATGAGCACAGCGCGCTCCGTACGTGAGGCGTGAGTAACACACTTTTCCACAACATTGCTGTCACAAGATAAAACCAAGGACAACTCTTAGAAGAGGAGCTATATTAGTGAGGCTGTGTTTGCCTAGCCTCTGCCTTGACCTCAGGACCAGCAGGAAGATAGAGCTAGCATCTGTGGAAGATGAGTCATCAACTGTCCGAATGTCTCAGTCTCTAAGGCTCTCCACCTGTGCCATCGGTGGCATCCAATTGTAGGAAAGGGGGAATGTGGTTTCATTAAATCAGAGTTCTTCTCTAATCCACGGACACTACAGAGGGTGATCAAATTATACACTGTCATGCTACTGCATCCTGATCAGCCAGAGATACCAGGTCTTCAAGGACATGGGACCCAGCCCTCTAACGGGTGAGAGTAAGGAGCCCAGGTTAGGTGACGAGACTTCAACGCAAGATTCAGGGAACTGGTTCACTACCCAGCAGGTTGTAAGTTTAACACGTACCAACATCTGTCCATTCTTTCCTTGCCTCTTTGAGCTCACCAAGGCCAGGAAGGAACCTTACTTATGCCTACCTCCCTGCTGCAAAGCAGACAGCTTAGCACTTACTAGAGGCTCTAGAGACTTGGTGAAGGAACATGCCAGCCAGGACCACAGCATTTGGTCAACTACTAAACACTGCCTCTCAGGAGTGTAAGAACAAGAAGAACCCTAGGGATTGTCAGTATTCCTAAACATATTACAAACATACCACCTAGGGAAAGGAAAGGGGGAATGTGGTAGCATTAAATCAGTTTTTCTCCAATCCCCAGGGACTACAGAGGCTGTCAAATTATACACTGCTGTGCCACTGCATACTGACCATCCAGAGTGACTACTCTGTCTGGTTTCTATAAGACACTACTACTTTACTTTGTACCTGTGGCTCTGTGGGAATGACACTGTCAAATACACATTATTTGTACTCATCATGTTGGAGCCCAGCCTGACACCTGACAGGGAGAACCTCTGTTAGAGGGTGACCAAGTGGCTGAAGGCTCTGCAGAGTTCACAACCAGGTGCAACCAGGTGAAAAGTGCTGTAGCTAACAGAATCCTCAAGTAGGAAACTTAAAGGCCTCTACTCAGCTAATGAACATCATTCTATTACCAGTCCTGAAAATGGCCTTTAACCCCTATTTAGAAATTCCCAATAATTTGGAAGTAACCACTTTCCTTCTTTATTTTTGAGATAGAATCTTGCTGTCTCTAGGCTGGAGTGCAGTGGTGTGATCTCAGCTCACCGCAATCTCTGCTTCCCAGGTTCAAGCAATTCTCCTGCCTAAGCCTCCCCAGTAGCCGGGATTACAGGCGCGTGCCACGATACCCAGCTAATTTTTGTATTTTTAGTAAAGACGGGGTTTCACCATGTTGGCCTATATCTCCTGACCTCGTGATCCACCCACCTGGGCCTCCCAAAGTGCTGGGATTACATGCATGAGTCACTGCATCCAGCCAAGGTAATCACCTTCTAGGGCAACCCACCATAGAGGTGAACAGCTCTGTTACACATTCTTCCTTATATACCAAAGCAAAAACATGCTTCCCTGAAATTCCACCCACGTGTCTGAGTTTTGGCATATAGGGTAGAAAGAAGACATGGATACCTATCCAAAAAGCACATGGAGGCAGGATATCTTACTCCTCCTTCTAAAGGCCAGTGCTTTGGTTATGTGAATAGTCATCATAAACAGCCATTACCAGAATAATACCCCATTTCAGCGGTTTTCAAACCAAGGGAGGGTGTTGTCCAATGGAGCTCTGAAAGGGCTCTCTCTCAGTGTTACCTGCTTTTACACACTAGACTTATGCAAATGCTTTTACTTAAAAGACAAAAAAAAAAAAATTCTCAGGCAAAAATATTTAAGAACTACCATCCTATCACACATTTCCTCAATCTTCCTTCTTAAAATAAATGGTGCATATAAAATCTGATATGCTAAATATCTAATCAGAACAACAGCTTCTCCCCTCTGATACAGAAATATGGGCAAGTATTTTTTTCCTGCCTTCCCTCCAGAGTACTATGTAATTCAAGCATGGGATGAAGGTGTGGCCCTGTTGAAGAGAATCTCCTAGAAGCCACTGGCTTCTCCCTTAGCAGAAATAGGAGTTGAAATATTGCTGGAAGCTGGCTGTGGTGGGTCACTCCTGCAGTCCTAACACTTTGGGAGGGTGGGGTGAAAGGACAGCTTGAGCCCAGGAGACTGAGGCTGCCGTGAGCTATGACTGCACCAGTGCACTCCGGCCTGAACAACAGAGTAAGACCCTGTCTGGCAATAAAATAAAATAAAATAAAAAATTGCTGAGTTGGTTCAGAGAGTATGAAGCTAATCAACATCTCCAAATGCTCAGGCAACAAGCTCATCACATTTCAAGACTGCTTGGCTGAGTTGTATCTTCATCTACTTCAGACCAGCCTCTTCTACAAAACAGTCAGGATTAGGACTGTCTGCTAAAATGAGCTGGAGACAGGACACTCATTCTTGTGGGTGAAAAACTCAGTCCTCACCACTGACTTGCCTTTCAAATAAGCAAGCGAGTAGATCACCTACTACTACAGGATCTCACTAGGCCAAAGGCTTCCACCTCAACATAGCTGCTAAGGTTTCCATCTTTCAAGTTTATTCTAGGGTTTCTGAAACTGCAGTTACCAACCCGTTTGTGGGCAATGAAATCAATATAGTGATCTGTGACCAGCTTTTGGTTTTAAATAGAACAGAATAGAAGTATCAGAGTTGATTATGGGCAATAATGTTTCAGTAATATGTGTGCATGGCACCTTTACATAGAAATTCAATAATAAAAATTTACTTTGTACTCTGGGTGACCATCAAAAATGTCCGAAAGCAGGCACAGTGGCTCATACCTGTAACCCAGCATGTTGGAGGGCTGAGGCAGAAGGATTGCTTGAGGCCAGGAGTTCAAGACTAGCCTAGGCAACACAGCAAGATCCTGTCTCTACAAAAATAAAAATAGGGCCAGGTGTGGTGGCTCACGCCTATAATCCCAGCACTTTGGGAGGCCAAAGCGGGCGGATCGCTTGAAGTCAGGAGTTTGAGACCAGCCTGACCAATATGGTGAAACCCTGTCTCTACTAAAAATACAAAAATTAGCCAGGTGTCATGGTGGGCACTTGTAATCCCAGGTGCTTGGGAGACTGAGGCAGGAGAATCACTTGAACCCAGGAGGCGGAGGTTGCAGTGAGCAGAGATCACACCATTGCACTCCAGCCTGGGTAAGAGTGAGACCCTGTCTCAAAAAATAAATAATAAATGTCTGAAAGCCACTGATTTATTTTTTTGTTTACTTCCATTTATCTATTTTCAAGTTAATTCACTTCTGTCATCTCTAATCCACTATTAAAATCATACAGTAAATTTTATTTCAGATGTCATATTTTTCTTTTCTAAAATTTCTATTTTTTAAAAAAATAAATTTATTTGAGGCCAGGCACAGTGGCTCACACCTGTAATCTCAGCACTTTGGGAGACGGTCAGATAACAAGGTCAGGAGTTCAAGACCAGCCTGGCCAACATGGTAAAACCCCATCTTTACTGAAAATACAAAAAATTAGCCAGGTGTGGTGGTACACGCCTATAATCCCAGCTACTTGGGAGGCTGAGGCAAGAGAACTATTTGAACCCAGGAGGGGCGTTTGCAGTGAGCCGAGACTGCACCCAGGTTGGAGTGCACTGGCACAATCTCGGCTCACTGCAACCTCCACCTCCCAGGTTCAAGTGATTCTCCTGCCTTAGCCTCCCAAGCACCTAAGATTACAGACGCCTGCCACAACACCTGAGTATTTTTAAACAGCTGCTGTATAATCGTTCTCTACTAATCTCAGTAACTGGGTTATTTTAGAACTATTCATTGATTTTTATTTCTTTTTTCTTGAGTATAGGTCACATTTTTCTGTTATCCAGATAGACACTGCAAATAATAGGCTATAGAAACTCAGAATTCTGTTATGTTCCACCAAAGAGAAGTGTCCCCCACTCCCCTTACAGTGCAGTTAACTTGGTTATAGTCAAACTACAAACTCCTCTCACACAGTAAGCAGCAGCTGAAATCTCAGTTCAACTCTTTTAGCCTTAGGTGGAAATGTGGTTCAGGGGTCAGCCAGATTTTGGGGAACGTTAAAAGTGGGCCTCCCCCAAGCCCCTGCTACCTCTCTCTCTTTCTAGGATTTCTCTTTGTCGTGGCTGCCCTGAGGACTGCCTATTCCAGCTTTAGCTGCCCAGCATGGAGAAAACTGGGAAGTGGCCACAAGGCTAATGGCCATCAGAAATAAGAAATTTCCCCAGTGCAATTCTCTTCTTCTAAAATACCTTCCTCCCGGATATCTATCTGCCCTTAGCTAACTCTCTAGTATCTTCAGGTAGTTCTTGTATTTTCATCCCCAGTTTATACATGTTATCAATGGAAGGACTGGGCCCACAGTAGCTCCTCAGTTATTAATTGTAATTGTTGTAGCTGGGCATGGTGGTACGCACCTATTGTCTCAGCTACTTAGGAGGCTGAGGTGGGAGGACTGCTTGAGCCCAGGAATCCTAGGCTGCAGTGAGCTAGGGCTGTGCCACTGTACTCTAGCCAGAGTGACAGAGACTGTCTCTTAATAGAAAAATTAAAAAATTTATTTCTGAATTTGTTGTAATATTAATTAATGCTTAGGTTAAATTTAAGGGTGAGAAATTAAGTACTGTGAACAAAAATGTAAACAGGAGACTGACCTGAAGAAGAGAATCCAAGAGATTCTGACCTCCCTCAGTCCAGGCAACGGGTCACAAGGACCTCCCAAGAACAGAACTATGTAAGATCTTAAGAGATAACCCTGATATGGTCAGGCTATGGAGACACTGGATCTACAGGTACTTCCACTTCTTTTCTCTATTTTTCCAGGCTGTGACACATTATAAGATTTCACAAATTTAAAATAAACAAGGCCAGGTACTGGTGGCTCATTCCTGTAATCCCATCATTCTGGAAGGCCAACATCAGAGGATTAAGTTCAGAAATTCAAGACCAACCTGACCAATACAGCGAAACCCTCACTATACAAAAATACAAAAGCAGCTGGGCGTGGTGGTGTGTGCCGGCAGTCCCAGCTACCTGAGAGCCTGAGGTGGGAGGATTGCGTATTCCTGGGAAGTGGAGGTTGCAGTGAGCCAAGATTGCACCACTGCACTCAAGCCTGGGCAACAGAGCATGACCCTGTCTCAATAAAATAAAAAATGAATAAATTAAAAACCTTAAGGTTGTATGAGTCCTGTCCTGCCTTGCAATTTATTCTAAAAACAAGGAAAGAATATCTTCCAAAAATAAAAAGTAGTATGTTATGTGGGCAGTAGGACATACAGTATCTTCTCAGAAGACCATACCACAATCCCCATGGAAGGGCCATCAATTCCATCTCTAACCTCTGCTACTTATAAGTGACACAAGACACCTTTGTGAATAACCACTGCATTTCACTCTTGAGCTTGAACAATATGAAGACTGGAGAAGAGATACTAGGGCCTATACATAAATATACAGATGGTAAACTGCCTTTCAGGTGCCAAAAAGGGAAACTGGGCAAACAACATTTCACAATTCCAATCAAACAATAAAAAATAAAATAAAATCAATTCATCAAAGTGTAATACTCACATTCTTTAGTTATGTATTCCCCAGATTTCAAAGTGGCTGACCCTAACAGAGTAAGAAGCCCACTCAGGGATGGATTTCTTAGAGTTTCTACTTTGTAACAGAACTATTTGACTTTTTAAGCTACATATACTTTGAGGAAAAAAAAAATTAAAAAAACAAGAGAATTATAGTTCAATACTAGGAATCCTCTCTTCTGGGAAACAGTCCTTGTAACTCAGAGCACAGACCTTGCAAATTTGTGCTGACTCAATACAAGTACATTGCCTCGGATTTCTGCTACAATTTTGCTTTTATCCTCTGGACGACCGTGCTCCAATACGTGTTGGATTACATAATTTCCATATTGATCCTGTTTGAGAAACAGTAAGAGACATAAAATGTATACAAAAGCTAGTTCTGTGGGTTACTTAAGTCCTTATATCTAATTAACACCTATCTTTCTTTTAGCACCATAATGGCTTATATGAAGACTAATGAACACACAACAATTTTTTAAACAGGTAGTAACATTTTTCTCTATTATTACAAAACAGGAATGTATTATTACTAGACAACAAAATATACATATTCATTTTTAAAAGGGGAGGGAGTGTTATGGGAATAAATATTCATTTTTCTCAAACACATTACAACTGGTTTACTGCACCGATTATAACAGAAAAACTGGAAATATCTGTGTTCAACAAAAAAAACGAGGAAATAGCTAATTATTTAATTAGTGGTATAAGCAGAGCTACCACTAAAAACAAGAAATCAACCAATCAACTTATTTCATTTAACAATTATGAAACAGAGACCCAGAGGGATTAACTGTCTACCTAAGGTGACGCCATGAGTGCATGACACATTTCTGGAAGCTAGATCTCCTGACTCCAGGGCTCAATTCACTAACCACATTCATAAAACACAAACCAAGCTGCTCTGAATGAAAATACAACCAAAAGATTTAAGGGTATTTCAAACACTTTAACCTCATCTGGAGCCTACGCTAACAAAACACACAAACTCTGGCCCTGGATGAGCCCACAGGTGTTTGTGTTCCTCTACTGCCAACTATACTACCTGTACAAGTTGTTCTGTGTGCTGGTGAAGCTCCTCTAAAATAGGGAGTGTCTGGTCAGGGAGACAGTGTTCCAGGATTCTCTGAATCACTCGGCAGCCATAAGGATGTGTGGACAAGGCGAACACCTGGGGAGACAAACGAAAATGAGAAGCAAAAATGATAGTCATCACCTTCAATGCTTCAGTATTGTTTATATGTCTGTATTATCCCACTGATCTTCACAAATGGATTTAATGGCATTTTAGTTCTCTCTACATATAATAAGGTATGTGTATGTGTAAATAAACCCACTGATTATCTATTTCAGCAATTCATAGATGTGCATAAATTTAGAGCTGAAAAGGACTTTTCCTAGCTGCCAAGAAAGAAACATATGACTAGTCAAAGTCATGAAAACACAGTTAAGAGTGTCGGCCGGGCGCAGTGGCTCATGCCTGTAATCCCAGCACTCTGGGAGGCCAAGGCAGGTGGGTCATGAGGTTGTGATCAAGACCATCCTGGCCAACATGGTAAAACCCTGTCTCTACTAAAAAAAATACAAAAATCAGCTGGGCATGGTGGTACACGCCTGTGGTCCCAGCTACTCGGGAGGCTGAGGCAGGAGAATCGCTTGAACCAGGGAGTCGGAGGTTGCTTTAAGCCGAGATTGCGCCACTGCACTCCAGCCTGGTGACAGAATGAAACTCCATCTCAAAAAAAAAAGAGTGAAGCAGGTCAACTGACAGCCTCTCCAAAAGACAGCATTAAAAACAGAAAGGGGAAGGACTGGGACCAAATCCTGAATGCTTTCACACGACCAGAATAACCACAATGCAATGTTCTGATTTAACTGTGGTGTTTTTCAGCAATAAGATCCTTTTGCTGGGTTTAGAGCAACAGGAAAGCACACCACCGTTGATTCTGCTCTTCCGTGCTGAATGGCATACACTTCAGAACTGTAATCAAGAACAATAATAAGAGCAATAATAGTAGCTAACACTTACTGGGGGCTTGCTAAGTCATCACACTAAGTCATCACACCCAGTGCTTATGTATGATTTTGTTTTGTTTGGGAGACAGGGTCTCACTCTATCACCCAGGCTGGAGTGCAATGGTGATCACAGCTCACTGCTGCCTTGAGCTCTTGCACTCGAGTCATCCTCCTGCCTCACATTCCCAAACTGTTGGGAGCACAAGCACTCACCACCACATCTGGCTGCTTTTAAAAAAAAATTGTGTAGAGATGGAAATTCACTATGTTGCCCAGGCTGCTCCTGCACTCCTGGCCTTAAGTAATAATCCTCCCACCTTGGCATCCCAGAGTGCTTGGATTACAGGTGAGAGCCACTGTGCCTGCCCTTATGTGTGACTTTATACATGTAGCTTTATGTTTATAACTGTAAACACAAATAGTAAACTGTATGATTTTGCTTGAGTTTAGCTTTATAAAAAATGCTACACTTGTAGTCTGGAGCAACTTGATTAATTTCACTCAACATTATGATTCCCATTTCATCTATAATACTGTGAGTTTCTGTAGTTTATTCTACATGATATACAGGAAGAAATTAGCTAAGTATATGAGATTTTGTTTTTTTCCTTTGAGATGGAGCTTCGCTCTCGTTGCCCAGGCTGGAGTGCAATGGCACCATCTCAGCTCACTGCAACCTCCACCTCCCTGGTTCAAGCAATTCTCCTGCCTCAGCCTCCCAAGTAGCTGGGATTACAGATGCCCACCACCATGCCCAGCTTTTTGTATTTCCGGTAGAGTCAGAGTTTCACCATGTTGGCCAGGCAGGTCTCAAACTCCTGACCTCAGGTGATCCACCTGCCTTGGCCTCTGAAAGTGCTGGGATTACAGGGGTGAGCGACCACACCCAGCTGAGTATATGACATTTTAAAAAAATGCAATCCCCTGCTCATGGTCATCTGGGTTGCTCCAGTCTTTTAAGAGAATAATGGTGTTTTAAACATGACCTATTTAGTATACATGTACAGATATTTCAACAGGATCACAGAAACTATAAAGGTTGAAATTTGGAAGACAATGCTAAATTATTTTCCAAAAGGGTTGTGTCAGTATCTATTCCCACCAGTGTACCTAACTCCTGCCAGCACATAGCAACTGATGAGTAAAAAATGGTCTATCAATTGTGGCTTAATTTTGTATTTTCCTTGTTCCTAATGGAACTGAGTACTTTTTCACGTCTACTGGCAATTTGTGTTTCTTCTATGAAATGTCAGTTTGTGTTCTGGGCCCACTTTTACATCGTGTTGTATTGTTTGCCTTCATTACAGAGAGGTTCTTTATACACTCTAGTTACCAATTCTTTGACAGTTGCATCTTGAAAATATTCTCAATACCTTTTTTGTTGTATACTTCCACAAACGTAACATCTTAATGTTACAGTAAACAGATCTACCCTTTTTTATTAAGTCAGAAACTCCCCATAACCACGTGGGTTGCTGTCAGTAATTTACCGTCACGGTCACTGAGCAAACAGCAAAACCCAAAGATTACTACATCTCTTATCAATCTACACTTAGCAGTACATACAGTGATACCTGAATATCTATGTGCTTTTTCTCATTTTTCCCCCTTCCTAAAGAAAGGACAATCTCACACACCCAAAAGAGGGTGAGTTTTACTGTTCTGTCCCACCCACCTTAGGAGACTATAAGGACTTTGTGTTTTAGGGGGGAAAAAAATTAACAACTACAGCCAATTCAGAGGCAATTCTGGAAAAACAAAGGTATTTACATATAAAAGTAACAATTTTACTTGGAAGCTGAAGCTAAGAAGAGATTTTTGACATATGAAAAAACAGGAGAAACTAGAAGTTATTTCTGATTATGCAGCCATTTAACACAACTCAAACCAACCTGGTCTTCATCCCCCTCCAGAAAAATTTAAGCAAGAAGCATCTTGTTATTTTAAAGATATACTCACATATGACCTACAACATTAGTTCTGTAAATTACCTGAATTTTAAATTAAATTTAAAACCAAAGCATTGAAATATCAGAATAAATCGTACTTAACCAAGAGAAATAATTTATTCTTCAAATATGAGATTTCATCTTAACAATTCTTACGACAGTGTTTCATACCAACGTGAGCAGACATCTGCATTAATGATGCAAAGAAGGCCTAGAGACACTGAAGGGAAGAGACTTGCAGCACACAGGTACTTGATAGTACTGCTACTGTCAAGTACTACAGGATTGCTGTTTACTGCAGTCTAAAGTACATTCGGGCTGGGCATAGTGGCTCATGCCTATAATCCTAGCAACTTCAGGAGCCTGAGGCAGCTGGATCACTTGAGTGTAGAAAATCAAGACCATCCTAGACAACGTGGTGAGACCCCCATCTCTACAAAAAATTTAAAAATGAGCCAGGTGTGGTAGTATATGCTTGTAGTTCCAGCTACTTGTGAGGTTGAGATGGAAGGATTGCTTGAACCTGGCAGTTCAAGGCTGTAGTGAGCTGTGATGGCACCACTGCACTCCAGCCTAGGCAACAGGGTGGGACCCAGTCTCAATGTACTTTATTTATTTATTTTTTTTAAGTACATTGAGAACATGCCACAAATTCTATTCTGTTTTCTACTCACAAAGGAAATCAATTTGTTTCCATTATTTCTCTCCTGAGTCACTTACCTGTCCCTTAAATGCATCGATGATAAATTGCAAAGACTGGGGCTGTACACATTCAATGCATTTCTGAACAACATGATTGCCATTCTGATCTTTCACACACTTCAAGACATGGCCATCTAGTTCCCGAACCATCTCATTCTATTGGAGACAAAGAAAGAAAGCACCACCAGAATCACAGCAAGCAAACAAGTGGACAAAGAATGTTCTCGTCACCAAACATGAAAGCACTGAACAGAGAATCTGTGATGATGAAAGTAGGATAGCACTGTGAAACAATGACAACAGGGAAACAAATGAGGACTTGAGTCTTTTCATGTGATAGCAAATTTACAGTAAAATTTCCAACAACAATTTACTGTAAAATAACCGGTAACCAAAAAGATCTCATACCTGTAAAAACAAACAAACAAAAACCTCTTAGAGTCCCCCCCACCCCCACCCCAGCTCTGTCACCCAGGCTGGAGTGCAGTGGCACGATCTCGGCTCATTGCAACTTCCGTCTCCCGGGCTCAAGCAATTCTCCTGTCTCAGCCTCCTGAGTAGCTGGGATTACAGCTGCGCACCAGAATGTCCAGCTAATTTTTGTATTTTTAGTAGAGACAGCGTTTCACCATGTTGTTGAGGGTGGTCTCGAACGTCAGTCCTGACCTCAGGAGATCCGCCCTCCTTGGCCTCCCAAAGTGCTGAGATTACAGGAGGGAGCCACCGCACCCAGCCACCTCTTAGATCTTAAAAAGAAAAAGAGTGGAAATTTTCAAATGCACAGGAGCCTGTATCAGGAACAGATACTCCTTAACTTACTGAAGAATTATATTCCAATAAACCTGTTCTAAGTTGAAAATAGCATTAACTAAAAAATGCATTTAAATATATCTAATTTACAGAACATCATAGCTAAGCCTAGGCCATGTCAGAAGTGCTCAGAACACTTACGGTAGCCTACAGTTGGACAAAATTATCTAGCACAGAGCCTATTTTATAATTGGAAAAAAAAATTATAGGCCAGGCACCCTGTAATCCCAGCACTTTGGGAGGCCAGGGCAGGCAAATCACAAGGTCAGGAGTTCAAGATCAGCCTTACCAACATGGTGAAACCCCATCTCTACTAAAAATACCAAAGTTAGCTGGCTGTGGCACGCGCCTGTAATCCCAGCTACTCAAGAGGCTGAGGTGGGAGGATCACCTGAGCCCAGGAGTTCCAGACTACAGTGAGCTATGATGGCACCACAGACAGAGCAACACCCTGTCTCTAAAATTAAAACAAAACTAAAGCAAACTAAAGAATTTCACACACTTTCACATGTTACAGTTCATCATGTTTTTATCATCACAACCCTGTAAAGTATTTATGGTAATGGTACTAATTAATCTAGAGTTTACCCCTGATTAGGCACACCTCTAAGTGTGTGACATGTTTTTTTTGTTTGTTTGTTTGTTTTTTTGAGACTGAGTTTCGCTCCTGTTACCCAGGCTGGAGCTCAATGGCACGATCTCGGCTCACCACAACCTCCGCCTCCTGGGTTCAGGCAATTCTCCTGCCTCAGCCTCCTGAGTAGCTGGGATTACAGGCATGTGCCACCATGCCCAGCTAATTTTTTGTATTTTTAGTAGAGACGGGGTTTCACCAAGTTGACCAGGATGGTCTCAATCTCTTGACCTCGTGATCCACCTGCCTCAGCCTCCCAAAGTGCTGGGATTACAGGCTTGAGCCACCGCATGTTTTAACTGAATTTTCCTAACAATCTTATGGAGTGGGCACCACTATAGATAGAGAAACCAAGGAAAAGACAAATTGAAAGACTTACAAAACTACAGACCTAGATTCCCAAAATTCAAACCCAAGCAATCTGGCTGAACTATATGATAAACCACCGTGTCAGTACACCGAACTGTCAACAATATATTATCCTGAACACCCCACCTCTACTGGCATGTAAAAGAAACTGAGACAGAGAGCGTTTAAGTCACATATTTCAAACTATGGATACAAAGTGACAGAATTAGAATCCTAGCCTGAAGCTGTTACTCAGGCATCTATGATCTTACTACTAGGCCATAGTGACTGCAGAGTCAGCAGGAATGGTTCTCTTGGTTAATTAATGAAAAGTGTCAAAACAGAGGAAGCAGACGAAATGGGCAGGACCTGAGTATATGAGTAGGAAATGGGTGATGGTGAAAGGATATCCAGAAAGAGAGACCACTGGGATTTCAATTGGAGCCCTTCCCCCACACTCACTGCCCCAGGTCTCAGGTATCTTGAAATTAAATGCCGGCACCATGGCTATACCTGATACCTCCTGCACAATTTCTCTGCTGTCTCCAATCTCTGTATATTGGCTAAACTGTGCTGCCAGTGGATTTATGTTGGAAGACTGCAAGTCACGTCAAAATAGTGATGTTAACGAATGCAATGTCTTAAATCCCGGAAATGGTGAGTACCTCAAAGCAAGTAAGATATCACATAATTAAATAAAGATTACAATGGCAGGGGCTAAGAAGCAAAAGGTAACAGACACAGTGATAAGGGAATAATAATTACTTTTCTTTTTGAAACAGGGTCTCTCAGGATCTGTCACCCAGGCTGGAGTGCAGTGGTACAATCATGACTCACTGCACCCTCAACCACCCAGGCCCAAGCAATCCTCCTGCCTCAGCACCCCCACGTAGCTGAGACTATAGGAGTGCACCACCATGCCCCCCCCAAGCTGGTCTCAAACTCCTGGGCCCTGGAGATCTACCTACCTTGGCCTCCCAAAAGTGCTAGGATTGCAGGCATGTGCCACTCTGCTGGGCCCAGAAGAGAATAATTTACTCTGGAAATATAATTATGGGAATGATAGAAAATGAAGCTTATTCAAAAATAAAGTCAAGGAACACTTATAAGCAAAATGAAGGAGAGATGGCTTCCCTGGATATTTTTGTGATCCAGTTAATTTTACCTAAAATGACGAACTTGCATCTAGAAAAGAAGAAATAATCCATGGCAGGAAGCATAAGTCAGGCCCAAAACAAGACACCACAGAGAAACATGACCAGAAAAAGTATGTGCAGAAATATAACACAGAAAAGAACAAAAGCTGGGTATGGTGTCTCACATCTGTAATCCCAGCACTTTGGGAGGCCAAGATGGGAGGATCGATTGAGCCCAAGGGTTCAAGATCAGCCTGGGCAACATGATGAAGCCCCAGCTCTACCAAAAACACACACATTAACCAGGTGACGTGGAGCATGCTTGTAGTTCCAACTACTTGGGAGGCTAAGATGGGAGGACCATTTGAGCTCAGGAGGTTGAGGCTGCAGCAAGGCGTAAATGTGCCACTGCACTTTAGCCTGAATGACGGTGAGATCTGTCTCAAAAAAGAAAGAAAAACAAGAAAATTAAAGAGAAAGAATTCAACTATCCATGAAAATTCAAGAAAAATTAAAATTGGCAATGATTTAAACATTATAAGAGCTTCACACTTGCTTCTAATTACTTATACTTTCTTATTAACGCTATTATCTCTAGTACTAAACACTGAATAAACGAACTCCAGAACTGCTCTATCTCCAACATTCTCTCTCTCCCTTCACCAGCATCTTGACACATAACTATGAAACTTACCGCTTTAAAAACTTTGGACATCTTGCCTTTAACTGTCATTGCCAATACCAGTGCAGTGGTTTGGATTGGTTTGGTTTGACTCAGAGGTGGTGGGTGTCTTGTCTGGCTCAGAACTTGAGTCCATAACAAAGATTCTCATTACCGAACTTTGTTCTCAGTGAGGGCAAGTGGGTCATCATTGCCAGACAATGGCCAACCAGCCCCTCAATTGAGAAGGGCTGAGTGAGCTCAGAGCCCAAAAGCTGAAGGCTCTGATGAAAAGCACAGAGGCTGGAGGCACCGCCGAGCACAAACACAACTGTAGCACACCCTGTCGGTGGGTCTGTTCTGCTTCCTGGGCCCCGGAGTGTGTGCAGTGCTCACTGGACCCATGCGGTGACTTTGTCGAGAAGCTGTGGGCCTCTTCAGGTGATTTCTCTTGTCAGTTCCCCACTCACGGAACCTAAGTGTTCTCATTTCTGTTCCTTTTCCCCGTCTAACTCTTCTTTAGCCTTGCCTTCTCCTGCAAAGCCGGCCCTCGGGGACTCTGGGGAGGGTGAGAGGCCCTTCTCCCATCCTCACCACTGCTCACCACCATTGCTCTTCCCCACCAGACTGCACTCTGTGGGCAGGAATCAGGCCTTAGTCATCTCTGTGCTGATGAAGTCTGGCACAGAGTGGGCTTCAGGTCAATGTGCCAGGCTACGCACTGCACTGGGTAGGCTCTTGTTCAACAGATGGTGGTTAGATGAAAGAACAGGAGAGAAGGAGTAATAAAATATGGAAGGTGGGTTGGAGGAAAGTTTGACTTGTTGGAGACAATGATGGCTTAACAGCATTTTACCTGCTTTCATTCATGGAAGAAAAAAAAAAAAAACCCACCTATAAAACTGAACCTATTAATAAGGCTAAGTTCTAGCCAATTGGAAGAGTATTGGATACCACAGGTTTTAACACAAGACACTTGATCTATAATGAATTTTAATTATTTGCACAGTTCATGCTTGCCATGCACAAAAAGGCAGCCATAAGCACCAAAGCAAAACCATTAAAAAAAACTGAAAATTGACAGATTTACAGGGTTCACTACATGTACCATGGAGAAACATCAAACACCAAGAGAAAAGTTAAAGGGGAAACTTACAATTACCTGCTGGTCTGAAGGAATAAACTCAAGAGCTTTCTGGATAACACGGCAGCCATACATCTGTAGTGCCAATGACAGGACATGGCCTCGAATCCGTTCTGCCAAAGCCAGCTTCTGTTCAAGGCTGCCAAACTAGACATAATGTGTGGGTGAACACTATTACTTAAGTAGAAGGAAATAAACCAGGGAAAGCAAAGCATTCATTATTGTGCATCAACCACCAGCATAACCTCTTTTAGCCCTGATACCCATGATTAACTAAACCTTATATTTAAAGAGCCATTGTTTCTTCAAGCCAGTAGTTCTCAGCCTCTAATTATGAGTAACCCTTTGTAATGTTAAAAAAGTTTCTCGAATACCCAACGATAGTAGTTTCACTACAAATATCTACTAAGCAAACACGTAATTCGTCAAAGCTGCCATTAATTCATACTATTAAATTAATCCAGCCAGGCATGGTGGCTCACACCTGTAATCCCAGCACTTTGGGAGGCCGAGGAGGGCAGATCACCCAAGGTCAGGAATTCAAGACCAGCCTGGCCAACATAGCAAAACCCCATTTCTACTAAAAATACAAAAAATTAGCTGGCATGGTGGTGTGCTCCTGTAATCCCAGCTACTCAGGAGGCTGAGATTGAAGAATTGCTTGAACCCAGGAGGCGGAGGTTGCAGTGAGCAGAGATCGTACCACTGGACTCCAGCCTGCGCAATAGAGGGAGACTCTGTCTCCCTAAAAAAAAAAGATTCTATACTCTGTTACTCCCTAAAAAAAAAAGATTCTATACTCTGTTACTACCAAAGCACACATGGACATACTGTTTTGAAGTAGTATTCTACATCATTACAAGAATTGAATTTTTTTCTATTTACACAAGGGAACAAAATTGGGAGGGGAAAAATTAGTAAAATCAAGAGGTAAGGCTACACAATTTTTAAATTCTGCTTATAATAATTTTCCACCCTTGGCTTTCTATTTTCATTTGAGTCACATAACATGAGATTGGAGGAGACTTTATGAATTATCAGCCCATCCAACTCTTCATTCTCCCAAGGGGGACTAAGATCCAGAGAAGTGCTCAAGCTTGGTCCAAATCACATGGCTATCATCCACTGCACAATTTGCCACCCCAAGCTGCATCAGCCTCCAGAACTAGAGAGCTCTGTATTTTTATATATGTGACAAAATGGCAGTACCAAGACATTCTAAAATCAAAAATATAAAAGTCATGTTTAGATTGGTTTCTGGAGAATTCAGGGTGAAAAAATGTTAAGTTTTCATGAAAAAACTTGGGAAGGTAAAACATGAGCACGTCATTTTTTTTATCTTCATATAAATCAAGCAGAATTAGATATTAAGACATTTACAAATTTGTTTTGTGGTAGGTAATGTGTAGAATTCCAGCATTTTCCTCCTCATCTCAAAGTTTTATGCCATTCTGCATCTATACCTTAGGGTCGCCAATACCAGATAATTAGGACTACAATGGTAAGCAAAAAAAAAAAAAAATCCCTGCCTTTCTGAAATTTTACTAGAGGAAAAAGACATTAACCTAACAATCTCATTATCTGTGATAAAAAGAGTGAACATTATTCAGACTAACAGAAGCAAAATAAGGTAGCAAGGCCAAATGATTAGCCAAGCAGCAAGTCTTTCACAATGATTGTGAGCCTAGCTGATAATGAAATATACTGGAGTTGGTGTCCAAAGACAATTCTCTAAGAACCTTAGAAAAATTTGTTTTTGGCAATATGTTATTGTGATCCTGCTAAAACTACTTTACAGGGATTATTTCTTCCATAAGGGACATGCTTTGTGAAACTACTGTAACAATCTGAAATAACATGCTAGGTCCTAAATGAGGACACAGTTTTCAAAACACATTTCCAAAACAGGCATTACCTGTTTGGGTATTTAAACCATACAGAATAGATAGACTGCTGCTAATGAACTGGAAAAACACTAAAAAGCTCTTTAAAAAGACCACATACCCTTCATTCTGAGAACTAGAATGGGACTGCTATTCTTAAAAAGGCTAATGAAAATCAAAATGCTCTGCAGATTCTCTTAAGTCAAAGGATACAAAGAACAAAGCCTTACTTCAAAGAACTTCTGAATGACATAATTTCCAAACACATCCACCATGAGTTGGTAAGCAGCCTGGAGGATTTCATTGAAGACAAGCTGGCGCTCAGCTGGTGTGGCACGCTCCAATTTCAGCTGAATGAATCTGAAGTATAAAGTAAAAAGGGCAATCACAGCACTGAAAAAAGACCTGGGGGTATGGCAGGGTACCTTGGTTTACAGACTGCATCAGTTCTGAAACGTATGTGATGAGCACGTGTGCACACACATGCACACAATCAACTGAACTTTATTTAGATGAATCACTTGAACTTCCTTGAAGAATTTTTAAATAGAGAAGAAGGCCCTAACTTAACTGAGCTTTGAAAATCATATTTAAATGTTGGTACATTTCATTCCAATAGGGTATATGTACTAAATCTTATTTATGGGCAAGGTGGGAGGGAAGATGAAAAGGAGGGTGCAGGAAGAGAAGCAGGGTGGAAGGAGGCAGAACACAACAAGTACCCTACTTAACTTTTTCCTTTAGAAACCAGCCTCACATCAATGAACTCAAAGCTTACAGTCCTTACTATATTCTTTAACTAATTTTTGTATAAAACAGTATTCATTATCTTCTGAAACAGTAACAGTTTGCCCTTTTCTAGTCTAGGTGATTAGTATCAGGAAAATCATGTTGCCTTTGAATGTAGCCTATAGAATCCAAATATGAGAAATTTTGGCCCAGTAGCAAGCTGGCAGAACGTAAGGAGGAGGTTAAATTCTGTAGAAACTGTTTCACTGGACACAGAAAAAGAAACAGAAACAGAAATGGGAAAGAAGAATAGGTGTTGTCACGATAATTATGCTCTTTCCCCAGGACCAGGTTCGCTTTCTGTGAAGCCCACTGCAGCAGCCCAACAGGAAGGGGTAACCCGAACCAACTTCTGTCTTCTATAATAATTTCTTCACTCGTCTCCACAGACTGTCACTTCTACAGAGTGGAACAACAATGAAAGGTGGTAGAGCTGTCTTTCTCCTAAGCATCCTAGATCAAACTTGTATTTGAATAGCATCTCTTTGAGAGCAAAATATTCTTCATAATGCTTAAAGTAGCCAAAGTGTATGTATGTCTTTGTGTTCATGTTTCTTAAATCCCTATAAAATAATGTGATGCACATTAAAAATTACTATATGGCAATTTATTTTAGTAGATACCTATCTGAGGCAAGACAGTTAAGGCATTAAGACTTCGGGTACCTAAGTGCCAAAGCCAAATACTCACCTGGACCCGTGCTGGTCTTGGGAAAATTCCATTATATGCCCAGCAATCTCCCGCAGTTGTAAATTGGGGTACCGGTTGTTTCGAAAATCTTCCAAAAGTCTGCTCCTGCCAGAAGGCATGACATCAGACATTCCATATCGCAAACGAGAGGAAGAGAAAAGAGTGCTGCTCGGGCTGAAGAGGCTGGAGGCGCTGCTTGCACTGCGGTACTTGGCTTCAGCACCTGGAGCAGCAGAGATGTATCTTCCACTGCCGTTTGTGAGTCCTCCTGTTGGTTACAGAACAGGAGAACTTAAGACCATTCTTAAGAAACTTCATTCAAGAGAGGTAAAAAGCATTCCCACACATGAAAGCCTGCATCATCTCTGATTTCTTCAATGCTGTTGGCTGTTGTTTTTGTGTTAAGACAATTCTATTAGTGTCATGACTTTCATAGGTCAACTCAACAACCTGGAAGGAAACTTTTACACAAAGATTGAGAGGGGAATGCTTTTACCATTGACAGCAGACTGCTGGTTAAGACTGGAGCAAGAGTTAGCATGGCCCTTAGTAAATAAAATGAGGAGCAAACGTGCCTACCAGGTGAACCTAGCACCTGAGCACCAGCAATAAAAACTCAGACTTGAGTGGTCTTCCATTATGAGATCTGTAGCGATTCCTTTCATTCTTGAATAACCCCATTTCCATCAGAAAAACACTCTAAAAAATCAGGCATCCAGATTAGTCTGTTTTAAACAGGGGACCCCACGAAAAAGCTTACTTTGAAGGAATGATTTTGCCACTAAATAGTAGTGCAAAAATCATTAAGATATTCCAGGCCATGGATGAGACATAATGAGTAGAAAACAGGAGATACCTTAAAAATGAACTTTTGAGTTCATCATTACAAATGGACAGCTCTTAACAATTTCTATTGTGACATAGCCTGAAATGACTGTAGTTTCAACAACCTTCATGCCACTGATACTGCTGTTTTGACAGGTGACAAGAGAATAATAACTGTGAATCCCCAGACAGATAAAATAGACATATGACCAAAAGGTGTATCATAACATATAGCAGGCCAGGTGCACTGGCTAATGTCTGTGACCCCAATACTTTGGGAGGTCGAAGAAGGAGGATAGTTTAAGTCTAACAGTTTGAAATCAGTCTGGGCAACAGAGAGAGACCCCATCTCTAAAAAAAATAAAATAAAAAATTAGCTGGGTGTGGTGATGCACACCCGTAGTCCTAAGTTCTTGGGATATTGAGATAGGGAGATCACCTGAACCCAGGAGGTCGAGGCTGCAGTAAGCCATGACCGTGCCATTCCACTCCAGCCTGGGCAACAGAGCAAGACCTTGTCTCCACCCGCCTCCTGCCCAACCCCCCGCCCCAAAAAAAGGTATAGCAGCATAATAAATTATAAGTATTTTAGGCCAAGCACAATGGCTCACACCTATAATCCCAGCACTTTGGGAGGCCGAGGAGGGTTGATCACCTGAGGTTGGGAGTTTGAGACCAGCCTGACCAACATGGAGAAACCCCATCTCCACTAAAAATACAAACTTAGCCAGACATGATGGCACATGCCTGTAATCCCAGCTACTCGGGAGACTGAGGCAGGAGAATCACTTGAACCCAGGAGGTGGAGGTTGCAGTAAGCCGAGATCGCACCATTGCACTCCCGCCTGGGCAACAAAAGTGAAATTCTATCTCAAAAATAAATAAATTATGAGTATTTTAGAATAACAGTCTTTTTTTAAAATTTTGATTGCACTAGAAAAAGATGTCAAGCCTTTTGGGGTTCCCCCCCCACCTCCTTTAAACAAAAAGGCCAAAGTAGGTAAGAAGCATGACATAAACCACAAAAAATTTAGATGAATAATAATTAAAAATCCATGAGATTTCACAGAATTCCAGGGAATCCATGAGATTTCACAGAACCCAGCTTTGAAAGTCTGGGTCTCAATCGAAGTAATGAAACCAAAAGAAAATGGCTCAATGTTAAAATATGCAAAATATTCACTGAGTATTTGTCCTAAGCCCACTTCTCTGCTAGAAGTTTTTCATATACACTTTCTATGGAATTCTTACTGGCATTTTGGAAAAGGAGTTTGTAACTCCCATTAATATGACAGAAAATTAAGCCCAGAGAGATGAAATGTTCACCCAAAGATATAAAACCCAAAATTGTCATGGCCAGAATTCAGAACAGGGCTCTTGACTCCAGGGTCAGGGCCCTTTCAAGGGTGAAATTCATGTTCAGACTCAGTTTCATCAAGTTTTCTTGTTCTACAGAACATTCTTGTCAAATTCCACAGTATTTCTGAATTCAAATGAAAAGTGATTTTTTTTTTAAGGAAAGGAAGAAAGAAGATTAATATGAAAAGAAAACAGCAGTCATAATTCTGTCCTACCCATCTGAGACTGGGGAGAAATGGGCAGAGGTAGTAACAGGGTAGTTTGGCAGGCATGGGCAAAGTGTGGCAATAGCGACAAATGTGCCAAAGAAGAAGGAATGGGGCGAACACACAATGTTTTGAAAATAATTTAAAGGAATTTTAAGAACCTGGTCACTGACCAAAATGGAAGGTAAGTTATAAAGAAGCCAAGTCCTTGGTGACAATGTTTAATGATGAGACAAACCAACCCTGAACACTGCCCTACCACTGTACTTCCAGTTACATAAGCCAATAAATGTACTTAGTTGTCTAAGCCACTCTTTGTTGGATGTTCTGTTATTATGGGCAAAAACATAATGACTAATCCACACAAAGGACTAGACTGAGTAACAGTCAGGCTTAATTTTGCCTGCAAAAATGTTTAATACATTATCATGAAGTTTTGATTTTTGCCTCTCATCTCCTTAGATGTCAAACAAGTATAACTACAAAGACATTCACGCACACACACATACACACAGTTTTTAGTACTAAGAAATACAGAAATCTCTGAAAAGAAATTTCCCCAGGTTCTAAATTATACATGGCAAACTGACAGTTCATGGACATATTTTGTATGAACCAAGCAGTACTTCTTTCAACATTAAATCTGTGCTTAAATTTTTGCTCTGAATTGTAGTTCTCTGGTTTTTGGGAAAAAAATGTGTGACAAATAGTAAATATTTTACCATCAGCAAGTATTTGTTGATTGAATCTCATTTAGATGGTGAATGTGCACAAATGTGCTTTCCAGTTCTCAAGTCTCAATACCAACATGTACATGCACCCAAACCATTACAGCTCTGGGGGTTTGGGTGCAACACTCTGGGAGTGTTTAAATTTGCAACCGTTTTTAAAAAAACATTTCTCATAAGGCTTCGAAGAGACAGTGGTGGATTTCATAGGGGTGTGTCCTATGACAACTTTCCACAGACAGTAAGGGCTTAAATGTTAATAAATGCTTTGGTTATTTTGCGTAATTGTATAAAAGTGATTTTTGCCAGTGGTCATCTAATATGTCATGCCCTTGCTACATGAAATCTTCTCATTTATTTGCTTTTTGTACTCACAGTTCTAATAGATGCCTAATGGACAAAGCCCTGCCTTCCCTCTTTTAAAGAAAAATTCCTACGGTTCCCAATATCTAGTTCTGTGTTTAACCAGAGGCAACAGTGTTCATCAAAATGTTTTAAAAATAAGTTCTCTCCAATTCATTTTCTGACACTACACCAAGGTTGCCCTAAATTAAATAAGCAAATACTGATTATTTTTAGTGCATGATTAATAAGGAGTCCAAAATACGTTAATTGTCACAGGTTGGTTTTACAGTTGATAGTCTCCTTCAGAGAAGCAAGTGAGAACCACAAAATAATCACTTCAGTTCAGAATGGGGAAATACCTAAAGGTATACATGACTTCAGGTTACTGACCAGTAACTTAGAAACTTTTCAGTTCAAGCAAGGAGAGAGAAAGGTATTTTGTGTTTGAGCTGTGCTTTTCCTAAAAAGCACATGCAACCCTGAAGATAAAGAATAGAAAGAATACATTTTAAGAAGACAAGAATTCTATCATGATGATAATAAAACGAAATGCTTTTTAGTTTAGAACTAAATTTCAGTTATAAATGCTTTCATTCGTTTGCCCTGGACAGATTATGAACCCTTGAGCTCATTTTACTATTACATATTTCAATTCTGAAGTAATGAACAACCACAACATTTTTCTTCCAGGGCAAATGAGAAGCCTGCGTGTTGTCAACCATTCATTCAACAAAAAATGACTGCTACCTCTTGATGTTTAAGAGTTTTTACATAACAGAGCCTGGGGATTGTGCAGAAAACTATAAACATGGAGAAGCATTCTAAGAAATAAGCAGTGAGAAAGTGGGAAGTAGGATGAAGAGATCTTTGGGTAGACAGAGCACAAAGCCATTACAATCAGTCTTTGGGGGCACTCATACCCACCTCCCTTACTTTTTTTCTCTTTGAGATGGGAAGTAGAATTTACTAGAGATGGATGTTTCAGTTACAGATGAGAGTTTAAGGTTTTCTATGTAACCTACATATAAGCTTTGTTGTTAAGAAAATTCATATTAACTATGATTAATAATTATGAAAATAATACTGTTAAACTGAGTAACAGCAACACATAATTAAGTCAAAATAAATATTTGAAACATCCGTCTTATTCGGGGTCACGAGGTATTTTATATGTAAACATTCATTCACAGGTATATATGCATGTATAGGGAAGATGGGAGAGGAAGATTGAGAGAGATTTCACTTATTGAAATAGTAAATTTTATGCTAACAATATATTTTATGCTAACAAATTTGGCAGCTTGGATGTCCATTATCAAAACTGACTCAAGAAGAAATAAAAAATCTGAACCCGTAAGACCTGTAAGATATAAAGCATTGGAGTAAGTAAAAATCTTATTGCAAATAAATGCCCAGGCTAAGACTGGCTTGCCTGGCCAAGTTTATCAAATGTTTAAAGAAATAATGCTAATACTCCACAAACTCTTCCAGAAAGCAGAGGGGGATGGTACACTTCAAAGCTCATGCTATGAGGTCAATATCACCCTGATACCAAGCCATAAAAAATACCTCACAAGAAAGAAAAACACACATCCTTCATTAAAACAGATTCAAAACTCCTCAACAAAAATACAAACACACCAAATTCAACATGACCAAAATAATATGTTTATCTGGAATGCAGGGTTGGATTAATATCTGAATATCAATTAACGTAACATACCACATTCACAGAATACAGGATAAAGGCCACATGATCATCAGTTAATGCAGAGAAAACACTTAACAAAAACTAAAACCCATTTGCAACAAAAACTCTCAACAAACTTAGGCTAGAAAGAAATTTTCTCAATCTAATAAGGGACATCTACTAAAAACCAACTGTAATTATACTTAATGGTAAAAGACAAATGCTTTACCCCCGCAAGATCAGGAACAAAGGAAGGGTGTGTGCTCTTATTTCGTCCATTTAACACAGTTCAGGTTGAGTATCCTTTATCCAAAATACTTGGGGCCAGAAGTGTTTCAGATTTCCAAGTCTTTGTATTATATTTATCAGCTGAGCATCCTAATCTGAAAATCCAAAATCCTAAATACTCCAACGTGCATTTCCTTTGAGTTTTGTTGACGCTCAAAAAAGTTTTGGGTTTTGCAGCATTTCAGATTTTGGATTTGGGATTCTCAACCTGTACTGGAGGTTCTACACAGTGCAATCAGACAAGAAAAAGAAATAAAAGTTATCTGGATTGGAAAATGGCTTTGATTCTCAGATCTTATATGTTGAAAATTTTAGAGAATCCACCCAAAAACCATTAGAACTACTAATAAACTACGGCGAAGCCACAGGATATAAGATCAATATACAAAAATCAATTGTATTTCTGTGAGCAAGCAACAGTCAATCAAAAGATAAACCAGAACAAAATTCTATCTGTAATAGCATGAAAAATATATGCAATTAGAAATAAATTTAACAGAAGCAGTACAAGACCTGCACACCAAAAATTACAAAGGAAAATGGTGCTAGAACAACTAGAAATGCATGTGCAAAAAGATGAGCCCTGACCTGACATCAAAATTTAAGTGGATCACAGACTTAGAGATAAAACAATAAAATGTTTAGAGCAAAACACATGAGCAAATCTTCCAAGAGTTTCAGTTAGGCAAAGATTTCTTCAATACCATTCCAATACCAAGATAAACTGGACCTCATCAAAATAAAAAACTACTGTACTTTAAAAGATACCATTTGAAAAATGAAAAAAAAGGGACTAGCCTGGACAACATGGTGAAACCCTGTATCTACTAAAAATACAAAAATTAGCTGGGCATAGTGGCAGGTGCCTGTAATCCCAGCTACTCTGGAGGCTGAGGCAGGAGAATTGTTTGAACCAGGAGGCAGAGGTTGCAGTGAGCCATGATCATGCCGCTGCACTCCAGCCTGGGCCACAGACTGAAACTCTGTCTCAAAAACATAAAATAAAATAAAATAAAATAAAAAATTGAAAAAAAGGGGAAAGGAACAGTAGCTTACACCTGTAACCCTAGTGCTTTGAGAGGCCAAGGCAAGAGGATCACTGGAGGCCAGGAGTTCAAGATCAGCCTGAGCAACATAGCAAGACTTAGTTTCTACCAAAAATTTAAAAAAAAAACAACTTATTTTAATTAGCTGGGTGTGGTGGGGTGTGCCTACAGTACCAGCTACTTGGGAGGCTGAGGTAGAAATATCCTTTGGGCCCAAGAGTTTGAGATTACAATGAGCTATGATAGTACCATTGCACTCTAGGCTGGGCAAAAGAACAAGACCCTGTCTCAAACATTAAAAAGGAGGGATGAAGTGGGGTGAGGGGAGGGACTAGAACTCAAAAAGGTTTGTTTTTAGTCTGAAATTTAAACAATCAATAATGAAAAACTATGCCACTCAACAAGTGATTTTTAAATAAATAACAGGAAAAATTACTAAACGGATCACTGATTTTGTTAGAAGATACACGTATCTGCCTACTGGGACAAAGCATAAAAATGACAAGATGAGGAAACGATCCACAGGAGATAAAGTAAAGGCTGGTATATACATTCAAACATTAGCTATGTGGTTGGTATCATTAGCAACATCCATTAAACCAGGCTGAGTTTAAAGGGGTGAAGAGTTAGTATGGCTGCTCATCACTGCTGATGGCTGGTGGCAGCAGTATAGTAGTATTAATAACAGAAGCTATTATTAGGTGTAGGCCAGTACATATTTGGTAAAGAAATGTTAAGTCTCTTAAACCAAAATGTCTTTAAGGTCTCTGTATGGAGATTGCTAGAAACCAAGTAGCACAACTCTATTTTCTCAAGGAAACAGACTGAGCTGAGGCAAAGCTGAGGCAAAACTGAGACAAACGTCCATCAGGAATGGCAAGTACGATACATGCACTATATATGACGGAAGTCCAATGCAAACGTACACAAAGACTGCTTAAACAAGGTGAATGTTTGCAAAGTGAAATTATGTTAAACAGACTAGGCAGGCAACAGAAGACATTAAAACAAGAAATAACTCACACTAATAGTTATTTCCTTCTTCACAGGGAAGACATGAATTAAGAAGTAGTATTACAGGGGCCGGGTCAACATGGTGAAACCCCGTCTCTACTAAAAATACAAAAAATTAGCTGGGCATGGTGGCGCATGCCTGTAATCCCAGCTACTCAGGAGGCTGAGGCAGGAGATTTGCCTGAACCCAGGAGGCGGAGGTTGCGGTGAGCCGAGATCGCGCCATTGTACTCCAGCCTGGGTAACAGGAGCGAAACTCCGTCTCCAAAAAAAAAAAAAAAGGTAGTATTACATTAAATTGCTGATACTTAAGAAAGAGGAAAGGTATCATGAATGAAAGTAATATTTCTGGCTCTATTTCCACATACCAAGGAATCAGTTTTTAAATTTTATTCTATTTTGAGACAGGGTCTTACTCTGCTGCCCAGGCTGGAGTGCAGTGGCATGTTCTCAGCTCACTGCAGCCTGTCTCCCAGGTTCAAGTGATTCTCCCACCTCAGCCTCCAAGTAGCTGGGACTATAGGCACGCACCACCATGCCTGGCTAATTTTTGTGTTTTTTGATAGAGATGGAGTTTCACTATGTTGGCCAGGCTGGTCTTGAACTCCTGACCTCAAGTGATCTGCCCACCTCGGCCTCCCAAAGTGCTGGGATTACAGATGTGAGCCACCATGCTTGGCCCACCTATTTTTATAAAGTTTTATTAGAAGATAGCTATATATCCACTCATTTATATTTTGTCTATAGTTGCTCTCACACTTCAACAGCAGAGTTGAATGTTCACTACAGATACCATCTGGCCCACAAAACCTGAAACATTTACTATCTGGCTCTTTATGAAAAAAAAATGCAGCCGGTTCAGTTTATTTAGTACGCGGTATGGGATGACATAGTTCACATGTTTTTAAACCAAGAAATTAAAAGATATGTATTCCTGGATTTGATAATGGACTGGTTCAAGATATCCTGAGTATTATCATGTGACAGGATATACACCAAAAGTACAAGCTTTGGAGTCAAAAAGGCTTGATTCTAAATCTGTTCAAATCTGATAACCTAGGCTAAGCAACATATTTAAGTCCTGAGACATGGGATAATACCTATACCTTCTAGTGTTGTATGTACAGGACCCAAAACCATTAACACCAGCAGGTAACTGCCAGGTCAGTGAACATTAGTTCCTTCCCTCTAGTCACATATCAAACTAGGAGTCTCTCCAGATTTTACATTAATCCCTAGTCTTTGAAGCCAGGCATTCTGTCACTAGGAAACACGGTTGTGCAATGCACCCCATTCTCTTGTCTACCTATCATGGGCCTACTAATCTAGAATGTCACAGTAACTTTTCTAAAGTGATGTTTATATATATTCTGAGAAAATGAATTTTACAACTAAAGTTCTTATTGTATAAAACGTCAAGATATGCACACAAATACCAATATGTATATATAAATATAGTTTTGACTTGAAACTCACCTCTTTCAAACTCAAAGCTATCATTCTTAGTTCTAGAATAAGTCTATTACGCTACCCACTTAAGACGTCTCTTAAATCCTGTAAATCACTTACTAGTCTGTCTATCCAAATGAAAGCACCTGTTTGTTTTCAGTCAGTTCTCACTTCTGAGTCCATGAAGCCACTTTTAATCTTGCTGGTTAAAAACAGAATCTTCTTGGTAAAGTGGTCACACATGCTGATTTGCCCAGGACAGTCCTGATTCAGGCTATCATCACCAACTAATTATTCATAGCGCCCCATCCACTCACAAAAGTGTCCTGGTTTGCATGATACATTTATGTGGTGACTCTACATCTAGGACTCAACTTTCCCCATCTAGCAAATAAATCAGTACTTCAAGCTTACTAAATAACTGCAGGAGAGGAGTATGCACCATGTTTGAGATAAGAAAACATCTCCCATGTCCTTAAAGATTTAGAGATTTGCCACAAAAAAAAAAAGGTAATATAATTTTCTTTTCATTCTTACAGCCTGCTGCTTAGGATCCTCTTTTTCCCTCCCCATTTTCTAGAATCTAGATGGTAATATTTTAAAATCCCATGCATAAAACAACCTAAATATTTAACAGGGAAATATATATCTCCTCATTAGCATACTATCTAGTTTGGGAGTTTATATTTACAAATATTTTAACATATGGCAAAATTTTAAAAATAAAATGCTTTATGTGAAAAAACAAGGTATTATATGTACATATAGCAGAGGAAAAAAATTGAAAAGAAGTAAGGCAAAATATTAATTGTGGTGGTATTTCAGGTGGTCATACTAGGTGATTAAATTCTGTCTCTGTTCCCTAGCTTCACTGAGATGAATCTATGTTTATACTGTTTATGCTGAAATACTCTCACAGGTAGCCAAAGAATAAAATGTTCATACTAAAGCTAACTGAATATAGGGAAATGTACCCAAACTATAATAAAGCCAAAACTGCTATACTATCTATAGGTACAGCCTGAATAACATGAGGTTATTTATGGTAGGCACAGAACACCCAGGACACTTCTAGTATAAAGGGACTGTCCTTTGCTTATGCAAAGTTCTTGTAATGTCATCGGTGGCAAGAGAGTTCTAGAGTTCAAGGTGGTGTTAGAGTAATGGTTCTTACCCAGGTTTAAGCTTGAAGAGGATCCATGTGAAGAGAGGGAAGGAGGTGGTGTCTGTGAATGTCCTGGTCCCTGACTAGGGAGAGGCATGCCCACGGGTCCAGGAGAGGAGGAAAAGCTAAGGCCGTTATAAAAACTGTGTCCAATGGGGGTCAAGCTGCTCGATGTCCTCTTATAAAGGTCACTGCTGCCAGTCAGGGAGTCACGGCGGGAGCCACTGCCAGTGTTGGAGTTTGCAACTAAAATGGAATTAAAACAATGCAGATAAGAACAGGCCTGTTCTTCGAAGAACAAGCCCAGTGACCTGTTCCTAACACTTTGATCCAGACTCCTTACCACCGCAAATTTGTCAGCAGAGACAGCCTAACTGTTAATGTAGCAGTTCTGGGGCAGATATAGTAATAAAGAGGACATGGCTCAGGTTAACATGACCATCACACGTATGCCAAATTTACCTTTCTATGGTGTCAAATATTATAAGGGAGGGTTAAAAAGCTCTGACGGCCACATGAGCTATGGAAAAGGTGAAAGGAAATGGACTAGAAGAATGCCTTTCATCAACTGAAAAGGTTCAAGTAGAAAAATGGGATACAGAAAAAAGATTTGTCAATGGGGTACTGCCCCACTACACAAGACTTATATATGAAAGCCTGTTTTCTCAGTGGGTTCACTTGAGAGTTAATGCTGCCCTTAATTCCAATTAAGATACTTTCTTTCATACATGACCTTCTAGTTAGGGATCATTTTTGTTTTTTGTTTTCTACAATCTTTGCAATTATCCCATTATTCACCATACTACACTCCTGCTTTATTCATCAAAACATTAAAACCAGCTTGGTCTAATATCCTTCCTCATAATTTTCTACATGACTACCTTAAATTCTACTCAAAAGACAGAAGAAAAGTTGTAACTCTTTAAGGTCTGCAGGTCAAGCACTCGGCTCAATCTCAATTGTGGAGTATTCAGCTCTGCTATCTTTAGTAAGTCCTCCTCCCTCAGTTTTTGATATCCATTTCTGTAGTTCTCTCCATATTTTTCCCAATTACAGCAAAATCTTCCCCAGATTTCAAATCCCTGAAAGAAACTGATTAAGTAAGTAGCCACATGAGCATGGATTGAAATAGGTTCCATCTGGATAACTTGATTTCAATAGTCTATCATCTCACAGATTATGTGGGATGGCTGGATTCCCACAGGGCTTGGTCCAGATCTGCCTGTGGTTCCATGCACTGCCAGTATTCCAGAAGAATTGTAAAAATAATTAAAATTCAGTCTTAAGAGCATATCAGTCTAATTTCTACCTGCTGTTCCAAACCCTCCAAGGGCAGATCCCAGGGTGGCGCCGAGAGAACTGCTACTTCCGAATCCCAAGGACGTGTTGGCAGGCTGGGCAGAGCCCTGGGAGAAGAGGGAGCTGCTCTGTGAACTGCTATTCAGAGAGTTGTTGCCGTAGAAAGAACTGGATGCCAGGTTGTTACTGGGCTGCTGCTGGGGCTGGGGCTGAGGTTGCTGTGTTCCTAAGGGGCGAAATGGTCCATTTGTTGTTCCAGCAAGACCACCAGCTGCTCCATTTGCTGAAGCTGCGGCTGCTGCAACAGCTATGAAGAAGAAAGCAAACCGTTTGGCTATGAAAGGGACTGGCCACATTTCCAAACTACATTTTTATCTTTTTTCAAAAAACCTTTTAATGCTCCCTAGCTTTTCAAAACAGACACAAACTATACAAATCGGTCTTTGATCCCTTCATATGAAGCTTCTATTTTCTGTTTCTACTTTCAATTTGAAGTCAAAATACCACTAGAACAAGTTCACAATGCTGGCAGCTTTAAAAAGTCTATAAACTATAGGGGGTATAAACATCAAATGTACCCATTAAATACAACTAATTCCTAAAATCTTAAATTCCATAAATATCTATGTTGAGGGTTTCTTCTAGAACCACATAATGCATATATACGCATCCTTCAAAATCCTATTTTAGCACACTGCTGTGTTCTAAATGTTGCTGTTATTGTTCCTAATTTAAATATATATATGTGTATGTGTGTGTGTGTGTGTGTGTGTGTGTGTGTGTATAAAATATATGGGCTTAAAGTAAAAAACTATTACTCCTAGCCAGGCATGGTGGCTCACGCCTGTAATCTCGGTACTTTTGGAGGCTGAGGCGGGCAGATCACGAGGTCACGAGTTCAAGACCAGCCTGATCAACATGGTGAAACCCCGTCTCTACCAAAAGTACAAAAGTTAGCCGGGCATGGTGGCGCATGCCTATAATCCCAGCTACTCAGGATGCTGTGGGAGGAGAATCACTTGAACCTGGGAGATGGAGGTTGCAGTGAGCCAAGATCATGCCACTGCACTTCAGCTTGGGTGACAGATACTCTTTCTTCCAAAAAAACCAACAACCAAAAAAACACAACACTATTTCCCCCAACCAAATGTATTATTCTGTCACTTCTCATTACTATTTCCCACTCCATTCCTCCACTCTTGCCCCTGTGGCAAAAAAAAAAAAAAAAACAATCCGCTAAAATTATCTTAAAATAATGACTTGGATTTCTGTGAAATCAGCCTTGAACTTCTGCCAAGAAAGCCATTTTGTGTGAGTAATCCAACTTCTATTTTCTCAGTAAAGCCGGACCTTGCTTCTAACTAGCTAGCACATGCTGCCTCCCAACCCCCAACAAAAAGGAGAATCCACCAAGGTCACTTACTGCTTCTGATCTCTTTTTGAAACATTACAGGGTAGAACTGATACACTGAGAACTGCCAAAAGTGTATTTCAACATACTTTAAGAATATCACTATCAGTCGCCACTTTTAGATCTCTGGCAGGAGTCCACTCAGATGTACGCTCACCTGCTTGTGCAGCTGAGGAACTAATGATGACTGGGGCAGGAGCTACAAGTCGAACGGGAGCTCCAAGACCATTTCTCGCGCCCGCATTCACTACAAGGGCACCAGTTTGGTCATAGTAAGCAGCAGGAGCCAACACTGGATAACCTAGGAATATCAAGCCAACATAGAAAAGTATATATTAAGCAAACAAGTAAGTATCTCCTGGGTACCAACATATTGTCAATAATCACAAACTTAGCTTTGGGGTTAGATTGACCTAGATTTATATGCTGGCTCCATCACTTAAATAGTGAATAAACAAACAACAGAGGCTACAAATGGTTATAAAAATCACAGTACTTTCATACTACATAACAATCTAAAAACAAATATACTGCAAAATAGCAGGAAAAACCTAAATAGGCTTTAAATAATATGATCTTTCAATATTATGTGAGACAGAATCTCCAAATCCCAGTTTAAGCCATACGAAAAACTGCAGGTTACTTCCTAAGAACACACAAAGGCTTAATAACTAAAAAACAAATGAAACAAGTTATAGTTATTCACTGAATTTATAAATGGCTCCGTTAAACTGGCTATGCTCTATGATCAGTAAAAAATACAGGACATCTCTCAAAGATGTTTCATATGTAGAACATCAAACTACATCCAATCCCAAGTAAAGCACTGAACCAGCCAATAGTGAACTAAAAACAATATATATTCAAAATATATCTATATAAACACGTATCTCAGAGGTACACAGTTTAAAAGAACCCCTAATATTAGTTTAATAGAAACCCTAAAAATGTAAGGGATGACCCAATAAAGGTGTACCAGAAATTTCTCCCTAATCATGTTCAAAAATATCATCATAAAGCCTTATAAACTAGCTTGGCCATTCCACCTATCCCTAATTCTGAGACAGAAAACAGATAACCCACCAAGGAAAAAACACATATTCCAAGCTGCATGGACACTGAGATATCTCCAATGTGACTTAAGACTGGCTCAGAACAATGCTCTCATCAATGAACTATAGTCTAAGTGAGGCCAAGTGTGTATAATCCTTGCCAGTCCCCAGGCCATGACAAACCTAAGCAAGGTGAAAGCACTGCTCATTCCCCTCTGTATCATCTTAAACATGCAGCCTTTCTCCCCCTCCCCAGGCCAAAAAATTAGGAATAACATGCAGCCGCACCTGGCATGCCTGCAGCCAGACCTTGTCCAAATGCAAGGGCAGAATTTACTGCTGCAGCTGCCACAAGGGGATCTGTTTGCTGTCCCTGCTGGTTCTGGTTTGGGGTCAAAGGACGTTGGCTGGCTCCTCCACGGAGAACCTAGGAAAGGAAGACAGAAATAAGTCACCCACTTTCTTTTCATTGCAGAAGACCTACCATATGTTCAGGTTGGGTCAACTTTTAAAACTTAATTGTAAAACATTTCACTATCATGGTTTTTGTATGTCATGGCTGTTAGGGTAAAAATTCAATTAATAACATTTCATAGAATAAAATTTCATTCTACCATTCTTACTTTAAACATATTACCTTTATAAGCAGCAAAAAGCACCAAAAAAAGTGATGATTCATTAATTCAAACATTTTATCTCATCTGCCTCATAAAGTTATTATGACAATTAAGTTAAAAGATGAATTTTAAATATCTGGCATCAGCAAATGGTAGTGTTATCAAACATTTAATGCCTACCACATGGCAAATGGGCAGCCAAGATGGAGCAATGAACAAAACAGACAAAGCGCCCCTGCCCTCATGGAGCTTTTATTCTAAAGAGTAAGACAGACAATAAACCATACTACACAATGTCAGTGCTCTCACAAAAAATAGGTGAAGAAAAACTAAAGAGTTCAACAGGCAGGTGCGGTGGCTCATACCTGCAATCCTAGCACTTTGGGAGGCTGAGGTGGGTAGATCACCTGAGGTCAGAAGTTCAAGACCGGCCTGGCCAACATGGTGAAACCCTGTCTCTACTAAAAATACAAAAATTAGCCGGGCCTGGTGACAGGTGCCTATAATCCCAGCTATTAGAGAGGCTGAGACAGGATAATCGCTTGAACCTGAGGGGTGGAGGTTGCAGTTAGCTGAGATCCAGTCACTTCACTCCAGTCTGGGGGAAAGAGTGAAGCTCCCTCTCCAAAAAAAAAAGAGGACTATTAACCGAGTGTAGGGGTGGAGGTTCCAGATAGGATGAACAGGGGTATTCACCTACATATTTAAAGTTAACTGAGTCTCACATGCACACAAAAGATGGAATGAGAATATTTCATCTTTAACACTAATATATTTATCAAGGCCCACATGGCTGCAAATGAGTTCACCAGATTCTATTTGGTAGGGCTCTCACCTAACTGTTTCTATTTCCCTTCACAAATTCCACAAACATGCTCATCTAAATGGTGGTAAGCATTAGTCAAGTTCAGTGCAGAATACCAGTTATGCCACTGTAATAATGGATCTACTTTTTTGGGGGGAGCAGGGAAAAGACAGGGCCATGCTCTACTGCTCAGGCTGGTGTGTAGTGGCACAGTCTCAGCTCACTGTAACCTCTGCCTAACCTCTGCCTCCCAGGCTCAAGAGATGTTCCTACCTCTCCTGAGTAGCTGGTACTACAGGTGAGCACCACCATACCTGGCTAATTTTTCTATTTTTTGTAGAGACAGGGTCTCACCATGTTGTTCAGGCTAATCTCTAACTCCTGGGCACAAGTAATCCACCTGCCTTGGCCTCCCAAAGTGTTGGGATTACAAATGTCAGCCACTGAGCCCAGCCAAAGATCTACTTTTTACTAATGAAACACAGCCAATCATTATTATTCTGCATAATGTGAAGAATCTATCTCACAAGATCTACACGCTCCAGAAAGCAAAAATACAAAACCCACAAACCAAGTTAAAATTACTGAAGTTCCTAACAGTGTGTCTTGCCATACTGTCAAGTGCACCGTTCTTAATCAGATCACTTTCAATTCTACTGTGCTATTTATAAAAGTTAGATATATGGTCAAGAAAATGGGTACAGATTATTCTTGGTACCAGTTGGGGGGGGGGGATGTAAAAAGAGAAACCAATTACCAATTAAATATTGTTAAGTGAGTATAAGGTGACCAACACTGTCCACACTGGCAAGAGGAGATGTGTGGACACTTAATTTGCCCACTCTTTTACTTCTGTATCAGTAATGAGAATTAACCAATGATCTTGCAGACTTGCTGGAAATATCTGAAATGATGTCTTTAAGCCACACTGCCTGATACCTAGGAGATAATCAATAACCAACAGCAAATTCCTATTATTAAGATATTATGTAATTTGTTTCTGACCTAAAAAACCGAACCTACTTCGTGAGAGAAAGTGTGTTCCAAACTACATAGATGGAAGAGTCAGGGGGCTGGACAGGTAGAACATACATGTCCAATAACTCAGAAGAGATCTCACTCTAGGATAAGTAAATAGCATGCACAGAAATATGGCAATACTAGTAGTTCAAAACTGCTGAAGATTTTAAAAAGCAACGAAAGCATTGCTTTCATAGGACATAAAGATGTAGGTTTAGGTGTGATTAGGTGTTTTGTGAAAGGGCAGGAGTGGTAGAGTAAACAAGGTACCTAAAGAAAGGCATAGTCAAAGACCACTGATGAGTCTTGTAATAAGAAAGAAAAACAATGTTAGCTTTTTGTCCACTCTCTAGAAATCTGTTCAGTACCCCAACAACAAATAAAAGTTCTTCAGTTACCTGCCAATATTCATATACTTTCATCAGTAGCTGTCAAGTCCATGATTTTATGGAAACAAAATATACAATTTCACAAGTAATATTTTAAAGTCTAATAAAATCTACAAAATGACTGAATTTATAAAAACCATCCTAGAACAGTTAGCTTGCCTAGAACGCAACATATACTTTCTGATAAAATACGAGGGCCCAAAAGGGGCAACAACAAAGTTTAAAAAGAACCTCCCATTTTAATTACTGCGACAAAGGAGTTTGCCAAGAAAATCATATTTTCCTCAAATACTTAAAACCAGAAACTGGCACTCCAAAAAAAGGAACTAAAACAATGACAGCCTGTTAAAAACTAATGCTAAAAACTTCTTAGTAGAGTTTGACAGAACCTGTAGGGCATGACAGAAAACTGAAAAGTTAATGATTATCATGTCCATTTTATAACAAAAATATATGCATTCAGAGAAGCCATCCAACTTGCCCTAGCTGTAGCTAGTTAATGGTAGAAGACAAGAGCTCCGATTTTCTTTTAAGATATCACAATATAGTCAGAAAACAAGTTGTCAAAACAAAGGCTTATGTTCAAATCTTAACAACTTTGTTTTTGTGTGACCCTGGGCATACAAATTCTATTTCCTCAATCAATTTCCTCTCAATTATGAAATTCTATTTCATAAAATGAGAAGTTATACATCTATAATAAGAGAAATAGAAATTATATGTACAGCACTTCACTTTGTACAGTAAGCTTTCTATAAGTAGTAGTTATTAGTATTATTTTTGTTCAGTGTATCAGAGCTAATTTTAAAACACAGCAATTACCTTAGTCTTCCAAATGCATAATAATTTGACAACCATTTAAACAAAAGATGATCACACAAAGAAATGCACACTTATCCACAAAGAGCAGATCTTAAGAAATTATTTGCTAGGTACAGTAGCACATGTCTGTAACCCCAGCACTCTGGGAGGCCAAGGTGGGCGGAACACTTGAGGTCAGGAGTTCAAAACCAGCCTGGACAACATGATGAAACCCCATTACTACTAAAAATACAAAAACAAGCTGGGTGTGGTAGCACGTGCCTGTAATCCCAGCTACTAGGGAAGCTGAGACAGGAGAATCACTTGAACCTGAGAGGTAAAGGTTACAGTGAGCAAAGATGCACCACTGCACTCTGGCCTGGATGACAGAGCAAGACAATGTTTTTTTTAAAAAAAAGAGAGAAGGTAAGAAAGAAAAAAAGAAATTTATTCAACAGGCCAGGCGCAGTAGTTCACACCTGTAATCCCAGCACTTTGGGGGGCCAAGATAGGCAGATCACTGGAGGTCAGGCATTCGAGACCAGCCTGGCCAACATGGTGAAACCCCATCTCTACTAAAAATACAAAAATTAGCCAAGTATGGTGGAACACACCTGTAATCCCAGCTACTCAGGAGGCTGAGGCAGGAGAATCACTTGAACCCAGAAGGCGAAGGTTGCAGTAGCTGAGTTCACACCACTGCACCCCAAACTGGGCAACAGAGCTAGACTCCATCTCAAAAATCAAACAAAAAAATGAAATTTAACAGATAACTCATTCTGTCCGCAAATTATTTATTTATATATATGGTATGAGAACTGCATCTGTTGCCAAGAAAATCATTTAATAGTTTCCAAATAAAAGGGAGAATTTCAAGACCTGTGGAATCTTAAAAAAAAAAAAAAAGAAAGAAAAAGAAAAAATTAAACATACACCCTCTAAGTAAGACTGATGTCAAGCAAAAAATTCTTGTTTGGATCATATAATATATATGAGCAGGGTGTTTTGCCTCAAATGATAGCTTTTATCTGACAATGTGTATTGAAGCCTAAATGCTGATTTCATTTGCACCAGAAAAATTCCATTACTAGGAATTTTTTCCAAGGATACGCTTATGTAAAGGACATTTATCAGTCTCCTTCCAAACACCAAAATACTGATAAAAATGAAGTTATCAAATATAATAGACTAGTCAAAAAAAGTATCCTTTGATGGATTTAAATGTATCTAGTAAAGACATCATTTAAAAGAACACCAGGCTGGGTGCAGTGGCTCACGCCTGTAATCCCAGTACTTTGGGAGGCTGGGGCAGGTGGATCATGAGGTCAGGAGACCAAGACCCTCCTGACCAACATGGTGAAACCCCATCTCTACTAAAAATTCAAAAATTAGCTGGGCATGGTGGTGCGTGCCTGTAGTCCCAGCTACTCAGGAGGCTGAGGCAGGAGAATCATTTGAACCCGGGAGGCAGAGGTTGCAGTGATCCAAGATTGTGCCACTGCACTCCAGTCTGGCGACAGAGTGACACTCTGTCTCCCTCCCGCCCCCTCCAAAAAAAACACACACACAAAACACCCCACTAAATAACACAGTAAAGTATGAAATCAGAATGTAAAACCACGTGGAAAGAATAATGCCAATTTTGTAAAATATTAAGTAATAAGGCAAAAATAACAGATGTCAAACATATTAACACTGGTTTTCTGACATAAGGATTTAGGGTGATTTTTTTTTTTTTAAAGTTTTCCAGTTTACCAAAGTTTCTATCAATAAAGAGGTGTTACTCTAGAAACCAAGGGAGGAAATGGCCTGTTTAAAAAAAAAAAAAAAAAAGATGTAGTTTTACAGTTTACTGTCCTTTCTCAAATCAAATGAAAAGCTAACATAGGTTTAAGATTTACATCCAATCCAATAGCCACTGTAAATAAGCAATCTAAAAATCTAGTACCCCTGCTTTGGTAGCAAGCCCCTTGCAAAACCCTGAAATGATCTGAAAGTGGTGATTGGCAAGCAACTATAGTATGGCAGAACAAGATTTTACTGTAATTGTGAAGATCCACTTTACACTTGCTAGCTATGCAGTTTCCCCGTAAGTGAACTAATTAGTACCATTACCCCACCTAGGTACAATAGTGTCTGATATATAAACTCCATTCCACAAGAATAGTTAAGTCTGTGCCTGAACTCAGATACACACACACACAAGAGGAAATTCATGCATTCATAGTGTTTTTCTAATAGACGCAATATCATCTATTAATTATCCACAATACTAAAATTCCCACTTAGAAGAGGTAAATTTGTCTACATTTACCTGCTGCTGTCCTTGCTGAGCCTGTGGGGTGGTCTGTTGATTAGCTGAATTAGTTGCTGCAGCGGCAGCAGCAGCTTGCTGCTGGAAAAGACTGGCAGGGTAGACTCCCCAGGGAGTAACTCCATAATACTGGTGAGGGACCACAGCTGGGCCTAAAAATAGCAAACGAAAGGTAAAGAAAGTCTGAACTACTAAGACTCACCTCAGGCTTTCCAAATATTACAAGTGACTCAATAGATCCTACTGTAAAATATTAACTTAAAAGTATATTGATTTATGCTAGCTGATCATTAACTCTCTTTTTAAAGAGTAATAAACATTCTATGAGATCCTTACACCAGTCTTCTAACATAGACCTAGAGGAAGAAGCAGTGAGGGATAAAACATTAGAGAACTGAAAGGGAGAATAACTGATAGAAGGGGTCGGATTTAAGAATAGGCAGAGGATGTAGGACAGATAGAAACAATGTATGTTGTTAGAAGGTAGTAAATGGAGGGTTTGTGTGCTTAAAGGGATGAAATAGAACAGGTTAGGATGTATCCCACGTTCAACAGTAAGAATGGCGCCTAAGGTGATTAACAGAGTGCTGGAGTTTCATTAACTCCAAAGAAACAAACATCTATCGGTCTTCTGACAACAAAACCCAGACACTCAAGTGAACCTTCAACAAAACTTCAAAATTGTGTTGTTTTTGTTTTGTTTTGTTTTGTTTTGAGACCAGGACTCTGTCACCCAGGCTGGAATGCAATGAATCAATCTCAGCTCACTGCAGCCTTAACCTCCTGCACTTAAGCGATCCTCCCACCTCAGCCTCCCTAGTACCTGGGACTACAGATGCATGCAACCACACCTGGTTAATTTTTTTGTTTTTATAGAAGTCTATGTTGCCCAGGCTGGTGTCAAACTCCTGGGCTCAAGTGATCCACCTGACTTGGCCTCCCAGATTGCTGAAACAATAGGCTTGAGCCACCATGCCTGGCCCCTATTTCTATTTTTAAAGTTACAAAGGCATTCAACACAACTACATTCAGATATTGATATGTGAAATTTTAAATTTAAGTCAACGTTGAACACAACAAAAAATACAATGCCTTGACTTGTCAGACCTGCTGAGAACCTTAAAAATAGTTAAGCATTCTCTGTAATTCCAGTATTTTGGGATGCCGAGGCGGGGAGATCACTTTGAGGTCAGGAGTTTGAGACAGGCCGGCCAACATGGTGAAACTCCATCTCTACCAAAATAATACAAAAAATTAGCCAGATGTGGCGGCAGATGCCTGTAATCCCAGCTACTCAGAAGACCAAGGCAAGAGAACTGCTTGAACCCAGGAGGCACAGGTTGCAGTGAGCCAAAATTTTGCCACTGCACTCCAGCCTGGGCAACAGAGCAAGAGTGTCTCAAAAAACAACAACAACAACAACAAAGCATTCTGCTTTAATCCAAATTATCTGTTTACTTTCTTTGGCAACGAAGTACAGCGGCAGTCTGCCAGATAAAGTAGGCAACAGAGATGTATGTAACAAAGTTATGCAGGTAACAACCCAAGTGTGGCAGAAACCTAATCATAGAATTCTATGATGAAGCTGGTGGCAAGAAACACCAAGAACACATTTGCTAACCAGAAAATGGGCTCAAAGCCAGTCCTTCAAATCTGCTGAAAGGTATCTCCAAGTTGAACTTCCTTAGTTAAAGCACAGAGTTAAATACTTGCAACTTGATTCATTAACAATAACCAAGCCTTACACTGAAGTTCTGAAGAGCTGTTTCAAACATGACAGCTACCCTGATTCAATAGCTAATTCTGGAGAAAGACACTTCATTAAGCCAAAATATGTATATATTCTTATTTCTCATATTTTAAACTTCTAAAACACAAATAAGTCAAATTGTATCACTGTCCAATATAAACATGTTTTGACATTTCTAATTTGGTGTTTTCTATACCTGAGGGTTAGCAAAGATGAAGTAGCTCTGTTTACAAGGGTGCACACTGTGAAACACTACAGCTGGGTACAGAATGAAGGTGTTGCTAAGAAAAGCTGTTACACTATGAACTATTTTACTATAAGAAAAGGGGTTAAGACATTTTTAACTTGTCAGAAACTGAACAGCCTAAAAGCCATGTAGTCAAGCTTAAAAAATAGTGATAGAGCCTCATACTCATCTGATTAGCGTTTATAAAGCAGGGTGGTCTTGGGCAATTACAGAAAAAAAATACCAGGAAAAACACAAAGAAAGACCCTAACTGTGCCTTAGTTTCCTCACTTGTAAAATGGGTAAACACAGGTAGAGTGTTCCTTAACCAAAGCGCTTGGGACTAGAAGTGTTATAGCTTTCAGATTGTAGACTATTTGCATATACAAGAGTTACCTTGCGATGTAACCCAAATCTAAACACAAAATTCATTTATGTTTCATATACATACGCCTTATACACACAGCCTGGGGGTAATTCTACTTTTCCGTTGAGGATGCTGAATAAATAAACTGTGTTGTGTGCCTGTGTTTTGTATAACCCATCATATGAGGTCAAGGTCAAGTGCGGAATTTTCCACTTGTGGTGTTATGTTAGTACTCAAAAAGGTTTTAAATTTTCAGATTAGAGATGCTCAGTAATAGCTGTTGTGAGTACAGATGTATCTACCTTGAACAAGTGGGTTGCAATCTGTAATAACTGTCTTAGGCCTCTCCCAAAAGCCAACAAAAGAGAACCTCTACTGGGCAAGGACCGCTATACCATCAACATTTGTGTTATTCCCTAAATTTTCTCAACTGGCATTTCTACTACTATACTCTGGTCACACAGCCTAACATTAAATTAGGAGAACATCCCGGGACAAATCATTGAGCTTCACTCATCAGGATGCCTACTTTAATTCCTGCCTGACCGACACCGTCTAAGAATACACAGATCCATAGTATGGACAGTTAACATTTCCTGTTATTTGTGAGAGTATTAGTTCATTTTCACCCTGGCTCAAACTAACATACACAAAAAATAAGATTCTGACCGGCCGGGCACTTTGGGAGGCTGAGGTGGGTGGATCACGAGGTCAAGAGATCGAGACCATCCTGGTCAACATGGTGAAACCCTGTCTCTACTAAAAATACAAAAAATTAGCTGGGCATGGTGCATGCCTGTAATCCCAGCTACTCAGGAGGCTGAGGCAGGAGAATTGCCTGAACCTAGGAGGTGGAGGTTGCAGTGAGCCAAGATTGCACCATTGCACTCCAGCCTGGGCAACAAGAGCGAAACTCCATCTCAAAAGATAGACAGACAGATAGATTAGATAGATTAGATTAGATTAGATTAGATAGATAGATAGATAGATAGATAGATAGATAGATAGATATTCTGACCACCAAATTACCATCTCAGTGACAGCAGCAGTGTCAACCCTAGGACCAGCTCTTCAAGTAACATAAATTAATAAAGGAAAAGACTTCTTAAAAAAGTACAGAAAAGACAATTCAAGAAAGACAGTACAGGCGTTCTAAATAATACAGTGAAACATACGTATGGGCTTTGGAGTTAAACCTGGTTCAAACCCCAACTCTACGACATTTAAACTGTGCGACTTCAAATGAGATAGCTCCCTAGGCTGGGCGCAGTGGCTCACAACTGTAATCCCATCACTCTGGGAGGCTAAGGCGGGTGAATCACTTGAAGTCAGGAGTTTGAGACCAGCCTGGCCAACATGGCAAAACCCTATCTCCACTAAAAATACAAAAATTAGTAGACAGAAGTGGTGGTGGGTACCTGTAGTCCCATCTATTCAGGAGGCTGAGGTGGGAGAATCACTTAAACCCTTAGAGGCAGAGACTGCACCACTGAACTCTAGCCTGGTGACAGAGCTCTCGTTCTGTTTTTGAGACAAAGACTGTCTCAAAAACCAAAAACAAAAAAATAAGGCAGGTCTCTGAGCCACAAATTTCTAATCATTTGACAAACTATATGAAAGAAAAGCATTCAGGACAATGCCTGACAAAAGTTAAGTGCTCAATAAATATTAATGATGGAGATCATTCTCCTAGGAAGAGCTTTCTGTTTCCCCTGGAAAGGGGATGACCACAGACAGACAGACAACCCTATATTAACTACGCTCCCATCATAACATGACAAAATGTAAACAATTTTAAAGGAAATCTAAGAAATGCTAGGTTGCATTTAAGTTCATAATTGCAAATTATATGCTACATAATAAGAAGTAAAATTTCAAAGTAACAGTTAGTCATGATTAACTTGACTTGAAGGGATCTTCCCCCAACGAACAACTACATTGGAAGACATTTTGTCTGTCCTAATGTTGAATTCAATCCATCGTACATTTATGGCCCCACTATGATGACAGTAATTGTGGAACACAGTCAATAACAAAAAAATTTAGTCTCAAAGGAAAGAAAAAAACACTCATAGGCTGGGCACAATGGCTCACGCCTGGAACTCCAGCACTTTGGGGGGCCGAGGCAGGAGGACCGCTTGAGCTCCGCAGTTTGACACAATACCAGCCAAGGTAACACCGGCAAGATCACTCCATTTCTACAAAAAATTTAACAATTATCCAATACCAGTATGGTGGTGCAACACCAGGAGCCCTAGCTACTCAGGAGGCTGAGGCAGGAGGAGCAAGTAAGCCCAAGAATTCAAGGTTACAGTGAACTGTATTCACACCACTGCGTACCAGCCTTGGCAATAAAGTAAGATCCTGTCTCCAAAAACATAACAGAAAAAAAAAAAAACTAATGTATACATCCACAAACAAATAAAAACAGTGCAGTAATTAGTGATACCAAAAGAACAGGAGAATAGTTAGCAAGGAAGGCTCCTTAGAGGTGACAGTGTCAGGTAGGGCACTCGCAGGCAAAGAACGGGAAGAAGAGCTTACTATAGAAGACCACAGTGTCCAAAGACAGGGGCCTAAACCAATGCAGTATCTGCAGCAAACTAAAATCAGATTTGTATTGCTATAATGTGTTAGCCAATGGCAGTCAATTAGAAAGGGAACTGGGTGGTACACATGTAGAGACATGCATGAGGCATGGTGACAGAGCCCTATATGCAGTGGGTCCCAACCCTAGCTAATCCACAGAATTACCTGAAAGCTCCTTAAAAATACTGATTCCTGCCAGGCCCAGTAGCTCACACCTGTAATTCTAGCACTTTGGGAGGCCGAGGCGGGCAGATCACAAAGTCAAGAGATTGAGACCATCCTGGCCAACATAGTGAAACCCCGTCTCTACTAAAAATACAAAAACTAGCTGTGTGTGGTGGCACAGGCCTATAGTCCCAGCTACCTGGGAGGCTGAGGCAGGAGAATCACTGGAACCCAGGAGGCGGAGGCTGCAGTAAACCAAGATCGTGTCACTGCAATCCAGCCTGGCCACGGAGCGAGACTCCACCTCAAAAACAAAACAAAACAAAACAAAACAAAAGGGATTCCAAGGAACAAGACACCCCCACCCCCACCATGACTCCAAGTAAATTGTAATCATCAGCCATGTTTGGTAGTAACTGCAGTATGCCACATTAGGGTAGCAAAAAGGGAAATCAAAAAAAGGTTTAAGCAGAAAGATGAAGGGGTAAGATCTAAGTCTGAAACCATTTTCTTGAACAATTTAGAGGGGAAGATGAGGTTAAAGAGTCAAGGAAATTAGAAATACATGATAGAGACCAGTAAAACGACCTGAACTATGTGATAGACTAGAGGTGGTAGGAGATCTGGGCAAAGGGAGAAAAATAAATGAGCATCTGGTAGCTCCAAGGATCAAAAATACCATATGCAAGGGGTATGTGATTAATTTGCCTTTAACATTTTCAAGTCTGAGGGGCCTATGACACAGCTAAGGAGAGATATTAAACTGGCAGGTAGATGACATCAAAATTCTGGAGAAATCTCCACTGGCGACATGGATTTGGAAAGAGTATAAAGAATGCACTCCCATCTCAAATGACTTTTCAGCAGGTGAGAAAATCCCTCATGCAGCAGAATGTCTCACCTAGTGTCGCTGCTGCAGCCAATCCAGCTGTGTAGGGGTCCGTCCCTGGGGGAGCAGCGCTGATGATGTATGGATTGGGGACAAACGCAGCGGGAGCTAAACCTGCTGAAAACATACCTGTCAGTAAAAACAAACTTGACTAAAACTGCAGCCCTACCAAATACCGACACAGTTTGACTATTCACTCCAGACTGCAGATGAGGAAAAAATGAAAAAAGAGAAGACAGGACAGGTTGAGAGTAAAGATAAATTTTAAAAAGATAACTCCTATACTGAAGATTATAATGAAATGTTTCTATAGTCAAGCTTCACCTTTACTAAATATTTAACTTAAAACTGTATATACAGTTTTAAATTGAGTATAATTTCTTAAAGATTATTAAAATTATAACAGGCTACAATAGAGCAATTTAAAAGAGTTCCATTAAAATGGGATGAAGGAAAGTATTTATTTCAACTTAAAACATTTTTATAAACAGTTTTCATGAAATCAAAAGTATGGGTACTTATAAAAAGACTACCATTTACAACCCTACAATATCAGATCCAAGGACTTTATGCCTGGCCTTTATTTATTTAGGTTGGAACTAAGTATATTCTTCTATAGCATATCATATACAAGATTAGCTATCTCCTTTCTGTTCAATCATGCCATTCTGACACATTAAAAAAAAAAAATTCTACTTCTACTTGTTTACATTTAATGCACTCTATTTCTAAGAGACCTCAAGAAGGTCCAAAGGAAAATGTCTAGGTAGTACGATGAAAACATCTCTCAAAACCTTAACAACTGCTACCTTAAAGGGCAAAGCTACCTTAAAATCAGTAATTATGCAAGAATACTTTTATAAATTTTTTCAATACATACTTACTGGAAAGTGAATTTATACTATTTGCTCATAAAATGAGAAGCTGATATATTTACAGTCTATAGAACCACAACTTATTTAATCAATGTCATCCAGCATTCAGCATGTTGAAAGAGCTAATGCTAGTCACCGCTCACTATTGTGGTAAATACTTAAATCCTAAAACAGCTGAGGTAAGGCAACAGCTGACCACTGAAGAAATCTTATGATGTAGGACTACAAGGTATGTCAAAAATAATGTGGCTAGAGACAACTGGACAAAAGAAAGAAGCCATTTACTCTGTCTGAGGGATTGTGTGCAATTTTATAATCAGTCTATATTACTGGGTTTGACCGCATCCAGTTATCCTAAAATGGCGGCCACATCTATCGCGAAAAAGCTATGGGCTTAAGGACTTACCAATGTGCGGCTGATGAGCAGCTGCCAGTGCGTACTGCTGCTGCTGAGCAGCTGTCAACTGCTGGACAGCAAGCGCATTAGGTCTTTGGAACAGCTGAGGCAAGAGGAAAAACATGGTGTGGTTAGGGAAACTGGCTTACAAAATCATTTAAAAACCTCTCTGACTAAAAATTTCAATACACCCTTATTTAGGCATGATACTTTAACAATAAATGTTCTCACACTCTACTTCATTCCCATGGGATTCTAATGTTTCATAGTTCTGTTCTCCCGGTCTCTCTTTCTTTACTTCAATTTGCTATGCCCTGGTCCCATGAGCTGACCACTTCATATATATGTCCCCTGAAACAAACACCCACACACCCACACCGACACACACACTTTATATATATAATATATATGCATGCAAAAGCCCTAATGGTTATCAGTAGATGTACAGGTCCTGCCTGATCCAAAGTAAAGTTAAAAATTAGACAAATATACTACAAACTGATTTGCCACATTGCCCCTAGTGCTGAATCTCCTTTCAGCGCTTTCAAGACCCCACAAATAACTGAATTAATCCTCACCTACCCACATTTTGGAGAAGAATATGACACGTGTTCACTTCACCCTCTCGGCTGCCCCTTCCTGGGAAAATGGTATTGAATAACTTCCTTAACTTATCCTAATGAGCAAATTAGACACTTGCCCAACTTTTGGTAGCTTCAAAGTCTTCTGGGATACTGTTCTTTATATGTTGGAAACAAAACAGCAGAAATACAGTAGCAACTAACAAAACTTAGATAATGAGCTCACACCTAGCACAATTCTTAGTTCTAAAGAAAAGAAAAAAAGTTCAAAGGCTTTAACAACACTAAGAATGCCTTATTATTCTACCTTAATAAAAAATCAATCATTCACTCATTAATTCAACAAACATTTATGAAACAAATGATACCTGTTAGGCACTGTGCAAGAAACTAGGAATATGACAGTGAATAAAACAATACAGAATCCCTGCCCTGATGGAGATTACATTTTAGTATGAATGGTACTGGTACAAAGAAAAGGGATGCCAGTAACCTGATGTGTGGATCCCTTAATAGGCCTCTTTCCAAGCAGTGATACTGAAGACTTCAATGTCTGTTAAAATCAGACTGAAAGCACTTACTGAAGGGACCTCCCTGGATAGGACCTGCAACCTACCTGCTCTTCCTACAGGATTTTTCAACAGCTCAGCTGACATTGCTAGATGATGTATAACAGACACTATGAATCTTGAATTACAGCTGTCCTCATAAAAAGACCTGATTGTTTCAGACATTAGGAGATAATGTCATTCTACCAACTCGGCTTAATTGTTGTCACGACTGGACTTACTCTTATCCTAGGTGGTGGAGAGATTTTAGAGATTTGGCTACCTTCTACACCTCAAACATGAAGAGGCTAATTTTAGACTAAAAGAAAACAAAAAGTGAATACTTTGAATTCCTGTTACTTCTCTAGTCTTAATATCTGCTTTTGAATGTCAAAAGTAACCATGCACCTATTTCAAAAATAGTTTAGGTTTTGTTTTTTCGAAAGTTAAAGAAAAACTTCACTGTGATGCTGGTAAAAAGGAAACAGTACTACTAAATATCAAGTCGTAAAAAGAAATGTAGGGGGCTTGGTGCAGTGGCTCACACCTGTAATCCCAACACTTTGGAAAGATGAGATGGGTGGATCACGAGGTCAGGAGTTAGAGACCAGCCTGACCAACATGGTGAAACCCCGTCTCTACTAAAAATACAAAAATTAGCTAGGCATGGTGGCACATGCCTGTAATCCCAGCTATTCAGGAGGCTAAGACAGAACAATCGCTTGAACTTGGGAGACAGAGGTTGCAGTGAGCCGAGATCACGCCACTGTACTCCAGCCTGGGCAACAGAGCAAGACTCCATCTCAAATAAAAAAGGGCAGGGGAACTGAATCTACTAACAGACATTAACAAAACATTTGTCTTCCAGGAAGGGAGCCAGTCAAGACTATTTGGTAATACTGTGGTTGGGTGCGGTGGCTGAGGCCAAGGCAGGAGGAATCACGAGGTTAGGAGATTGAGACCATCCTGGCCAACATGGTGAAACCCCATCTCTATGAAAAATACAAAAGTTAGCCAGGTGTGGTGGTGCACACCTGTATTCCCAGCTACTTGGGAGGCTGAGGCAAGGAGAATCGCTTGAACCTGGGAGGCAGAGGTAGCAGTGAGCCGAGATTGTGCCACTGCACTCCATCCTAGCACAGACTCCGTCAAAAAAAAAAAAGTGTGCTTGTGACTTCTGCAAGTTGGTTTCACATGTCTGTTTTACTAAAGATGTGTCTCACACAGTACTTCCTCCAACAGGAGGCAGTCCACCCAAGAAGGGCAGCCCTTCTTTACAATATAACTATGAGATATACTGTGAAATATCTCATAGTTCCACTAAATATGTACTGTCTCTTCAACAAGTTTCTGGAATTTTTCTGACCTGAATCCTTTTGCAATATTTAACATATCAGACACTGCTTGTGTTAGCTTCTCCTCTCCACCCTTCTTTGCTCTACTACAAACGAAAAAATTCATTTCATTCAACAAACATTTTTGAGCACCTAGTATTCGGCAGGTGCCTGTGACATGGAACTGGGGAAATAAAGACAGTATATTCAGAACACAACTCTTAAGGGTAGCTTGACTTATTAACCACTGCCATTCCATCTGACTTAACCTCACTTTGTATTTTTTTTGTTTGCTTGTTTGTTTCAAGAGTCAGAGTCTTACTCTGTCACTGAGGCTTGAATGCAGTGACATGATCATGGCTCACTATAGCCTCAAACTTCTGGGCTCAAGCAATCCTCCTGCCTCATCCTCCAAGTAGCTGAGACTACAGGCGCATCCCATCATACCTGGCTATCTTTTTTTTTTTAAAACTTTTAAAATAGATGAAGCCTATGTTGTTCAAGCTGGTCTGGAACTCCTAGGCTCAAATGACCCTTCCACTCTGGCCTCCCAAAGGGCTGGAATTACAGGTGTGAGCCAATACACCTGGCCATATTTTTTTTTATTATTACATGTAAGTCATCATTGGTATGGGTACTATATTTGTAAATATACATGGAAATACATGATATGTGGGAATACCATAAAAGTAATTATTCCATATAACATTAGCTTATGGTTTTCACCATCATATTACCACATTTTGAAAGCAGGAACTATTACTTTTAACTAAAAGCATACAAGCCTTACAAGAGGCCCCCATATAGCCTATGTTTGAGAGCTGATAAATATCTTAGTAATTATGGTGAACAGAAAAGGATTTTCTTGAGACCATTTTGCAGTAAACAATTTAACAAAAGTAAATTATACATGTACACCAGACAGATTTGATTACAGAACAGATTACAGCAATTTTAGCACATTCTCTTTATGTAAATGGTGCAATATTAACTAGAAATACAGAGTATTCAAAACAAATTGGGTAATTGGTAAGTGACAGATTCCAAAGGATCCTGAAAAACTTGCACAAATGCCATCTGCTGGGCAAAGCACTGAGCTCTGCTAACATTTTCATGTCTTCCACAAAGCAAGCGAATATCCCATAACTGAGAAACAAAATACTGTGAGAGTTGGGGGAAATGTTTATTTAAAGGTCAGTATAATGATAAATGTGATGCTGTTGATTATAATTCACGGATAGATTTTACAAGTTGTTCAAGAGTCTGAATGCAGAGGAAAATGTATCATCTACTTCAAGCATATCAAGTTTCCTAACAAATACTGAAGACATAATTTGGGAAGTAGACAAACAAGCTGGTTTGCCTCCTTTCTCCGTCACTTACTATATAAAAAACACTCTATATGGTTCTTATTCCAGAAAGGAATCCGGACAGCCAAAAACACCCAGCACAGTGACTGACATGTACTGATATGCAGTTGGCATCTTATAAGATAGCTACTACTATTATTACTGTTGTTATCAATAGCAGTTGCTGACATAAAAAATTATGGGATTTTCTGAATCTGGAGGAGGAATGTCTAAATAAGGAGTTAGAAAATGCAAAAGACTACTCCCCCAACCCCACCACAGTAAAGTGTACTGCCAGTCCTGACTTTTTTTTTTTTTTTTTTTTTTTTTTTACCAGTTTGAGGCCATATACATAGTAGACAGGGGTTAAGAGCACTGACTCTGGAGCCAGACAGCCTTGGTTTCTATCTCAGCTAACCACTGACTTGCTATGTAACCTCTGGCAAATTATTTAATCTCTCTGTGCCTCATTCCCCTCTTCTCTCTAATATGACAATTAAGATACATTTAACACAGAAAGTTGCTGTGGGGATTAAAATTAACACATGTAAAGCACTTATAAGAGTCCTTTATGTGTAATGGTAATGAGCTTTCTGATGAATGGGGAGAGCACCCCCAACAGACTCAGCCCCTCTGAGCTTCACCCTTTACAGTTCCTTCCCAGAGCCAGGCAACTCAAGCAGACCAAAAACTGAGGGCAGGACTCCTCCTAGTCTGTATTAAGAGTCAAAATCGCCAGGAGCAGTGGCTCACACCTGTAATCACAGCACTTTGGGAGGCTGAGGCAGGAGGATCACCTGAGGTCAGGAGTTCAAGACCAGCCTGACCAACATGGAGAAACCCCATCTCTACTTAAAATACAAAATTAGGCAGGCGTGACAGCATATGCCTGTAATCCCAGCTACTCAGAGGCTGAGGCAGGAGAAGCACTTGAACCCGGGAGGCAGAGGTTGAGGTGAGCCAAGATCGTGCCATTGCACTCCGGCCTGGGAAACGAGAGCAAAACTCCTTCTCAAAAGGGAAAAAAAAAAAAAAAAAGGTAATATCTCACTGCACCAGGACCACCAACCACTATCAGTGGGTCACAAAGATAACAGAGAAGAAAGAAAACAATTTATGTTTTCATGGGTGAGTACTCTCTGCATTATGCTACTTTCAGAAAAAGCTATGAATACAGTGGAATTTGAAGGTGAGACAACTCTGCCTATTAAAAGGCTCTGCGTTTCTAGTACAAGGTCCAAAGGAAACAGTCTGAAGTTAGAAACCAAAATAACAGCTGCTTGCATAGCTT